CTGAGATCCTGACTCTCTGTGGTCATTAAAAATACGACAGTGTTTCTCAACAAGAGTAGTGGTGTTACCCCAGCGTCCTGGCCAAATTTCCCCCTGGCCTTTGCCAGTCACAACCACCTAATAGTCCCCATCTATGAACTGGCTTCATCACTCTGTTCTCCTGTCCACTGAGAGCTGGTGTGTGGGGAGCGTACTGGTGCACTATGGCTGCCGTTGCTACACACTGGTGGTGGTGGAAGTGAGTCCCAGTTACCTGTAAAGCACTTCGAATGATGTGTCCAGAAAATCAGTATATAAGTATAAGGAATTATGATTAATTTTTATTAATAAAAAAAAATACAGGTCTGACAACCGACCTAGGAGTCTCAGAGTTTTAAAGAACACAAAATATAATCTCACACTTAACAGGTGCATTGCTGAGACGTCAGTTTCACAAGCTTGCACTGTAACTGTAGTGATTTCAGAGATATTTTAATACTCCAGTATATGGACAAAGACACATACTCAATCTAAAAACCAGATTGTACCATGTCAGAGTAATTGAACTTTTCTCCACTAATACCTTAAGCTGTGCAAGTTTAATGCACATTCTCGTACTTTCTGAAAACCCATCCGGTTTGACAAAAACACCATCCCATCCCTCTACAATGGAGGTTCTGGTGAGGGTCTGTGAGACTAAGCTGCACATTTGTTCGGTTTCACTGGTGTCACACAGACCTGAGATCTGGGTTCTGCCATGGCCGGGGAGGTGATAAAATCCGTCTTTCGTCTAACTTGGAGTTCTGAATATTTTGTCCACAGCTGGGTTAAATCATAGGCCTGTGTTTGGCGGTTCTTTCTTCTTTACTTCTGTCATTGGATCCTTATACTGAATTAACAGTTCTTCCCATTAGGATTCCATTACTACTTTCAAGTGCCAGGAAAATGTAGATTGCAGGTTCTGTTCTTCATAAAAACAGAATAGTTGAGTTAAACCGTCCATCCTGGATTTGATGGATTAATGAATTGAATGCTCATAAAAAAATGTAATCCCACAGATACAAGGGTTCTGAAGACCAGGGTTGAGAAGCCCAAATAAACTGACACCAGCAGTAAAGTGTTACTTTGCACTACCTTCTAAGAAAAACAAACTTTGATCTTTTTTTTTGTGTAATATTTTTACAACAAGGACTTTCCAGTGTACTGTGAACTACGGCATTTTACCTAACGTTTGCACCGTTACAGTACACTTTTTAAAATCCGAATTGCCCCAGATAAAGCATTTCGCGAAATAATGAAAGCACAAGAAATACGGACAAGACCATGTACTGATTCGTACTGAGTACGTCACAATGTATGTATGACTACAGTGTCACAATTCTTTCCTTGCTCTATGTTCGATCAAGAGCACAAATCAACCTTTCACCCTCACTCCTCGTGGCCACACCCTCACATTTTACGCAACTCCTAGTCTAGATTTATGCAACACGACACGCCCTCATACTCCCTAATATGGAATCAGTGCCCTTACGTCGCGTCGTGAGTGGCCAGAACAGATCGACTTGTGAATGCTGATTGGACTGTGGTATAGGAAGGGGGCGTGGTTAGTGCTCAGGGGCTGCTTGGAAGGCACGAGGGTTTGATTAAGCAAAGTGCAATGTTTGGAGTTGTGAACTTGCAATAAGGAAATTGTACACGGTTATTTTTTGAAAAAGACAAAATGAGCGGTCTGGACCTGGCTAAAATCGGAGTAAACCTGTTGAAGAATGCGGCAACGGGAGAGGTTTGTACAAATATCTTTAATCTTGCAGTATTCAAGTGATTGTTTACGTGATATAGAGTAAATGAGTTGTTCCATCATTGAAATGAGTGTTTTGTGTTTTCAGAGCAACATCTAAAATTATCGCCACCTTCACTCTAATTAACTTTAGTCGCATGAAAGTCATGTAAATTCTCCCGAGTTAGTCATATTTAAACAGCTAAACTAAAATACAGTCATTGTATAACGCTGGGTGACTGACAATTGCCCGGAGAGCCACAATCTAGTGGCGTGTAATGCGTCACCCTTACATTACCGGTTTCTAACCACTTGGATCAATATCTTTTAACTGTCGAAGCATTTGATTGGTTCATTAAGTATATAAATCGCCTGAAATGAAAATCCTAATACCCTTAGTTCTCAACGACCACAGTTAGTCGCTATATCTGGTTTGACAGAACCAATGAGCTTATTAAATTATTCAAAACATGCTTATATTTTACGTCGATACAAAACGGGTGGTTTTAAAGTATCCTAAGGTATCCAGACAGTCACATACAGAATAACATTTATATGTCATTGTTATGCTTTTTAATGTTTGGATATGTTAGACAGTAGGCCTGTAATGTAAAGCGAAGTGGCTGTTGCATTGTCATCCAGTATGCATTGCACAGATTGAATGTGGGGAAAAATAGGCAAAGATGCGTTTTAATTGTTGTCACAACACACAGGTTGTTGTCGGTGTGGGTTCTGCTCCCACACCAAACAAAGCCCAACGTAAAAGTGCTGGATCTCACCCGGGTGTCGTGTAACAGAAATGTCTCTCACGAAGCTTGCCAGTGGGCTTTGACGGTGGAGAGTAAACCCCAGTTAGCTACGAGCCCAGATCGGCAGTCCACTGTCGCAGTGACAGCTCAAGCTGTGGGTCAGTGGTTGGTCTGTCATCCCCTCCCAGATGGTGGAGCTGCAGGCCCTGTGGCAGGACCAGGCCGTCGTGCTGTTTTTCCTGCGGCGGTTCGGCTGTCAGATTTGCCGCTGGACGGCGGCGGAGATCAGCAAGCTGAAGGAGGACCTGAGTCAGAACCAGGTGGCTCTGGTGGGCATCGGGCCCGAGGAGACGGGACTCCAGGAGTTCAAGGAGGGAGGCTTCTTCAAGGGAGGTGAGACCCCCGGCCAGAAAACATATCATGCACAAAACAACCAAACTCTAGACTTATAGGGGCTTGCTTGTCATTTTCATCAGTCCGAGAACAACTAAATATATGAAAAGGATCCAGAAAAGTCGTCTGTGACCTCAAGCACTCCATTAGCACTGCTGTTCTGTATGGCACACTTTAGACGCGTGCATAGACAAAAAATCAATTTGCAGTCTGCACTTAACATCGCACAATGGAAGAAAAACCTTTAGTGAAAAACATTGCGTGACTTTTTTGCTAGGAGGAGAGTGATGACATAATTTGACATGTGCACCTTCAACAGGCTCCACTGGGGCACTGCTCATAGCCGTGCAGTATCCATATCACATGATGGTATTGCAGCACACTCTGGTGCTCGGTGCATTCCTAGGCCTTTAGAAATTCTAAAAACTAGAAATTTCTAATGCAGTAAAAGCTTGTCCAGAGAAATTCTTTAGTCATAGATCCAATGGAATATTTTAAACTCTTCCAGTTGCTATGTTGTTACAACATGCCTTGTGTAACCTCTTTCACAATAAGGGAGAGAGGGTGGGTTCTGCTTAACTGTATATGGGAAAAAAAAAAGAGGTGTTAGTGGGGCCAGTAGGGGGTGCTCCCCCCGTGGTACATGTGGGTCCTAATGCCCCAGTATAGTGATGGGGACACTATACTGTAAATAAGCGCCGTCCTTTGGATGAGACGTAAAACCGAGGTCCTGACTCTCTGCGGTCATTAAAAATCCCAGGGCGTTTCTCAAAAAGAGTAGGGGTGTAACCCCGGCATCCTGGCCAAAGTTCCCATTGGCTCTTACCAATCATGGCCTCCTAATAATCCCCATCTATGAATTGGCTATCATAGCCACCACACACCAGCTATCAGTGGGGAGGAGAGCAGAGTGATGAAGCCAGTTTATAGATGGAGATTATTAGGGGGCCATGATTGGTAAGGGCCAATGGGAAATTTGGCCAGGACGCTGGGGTTACACCCCTACTCTTTTCGAGAAACGCCCTGGGATTTTTAATGACCGCAGAAAGGTAGGACCTCGGTTTGACGTCTCATCCGAAGGACGGCGCCTTTTTACACTATAGTGTATATATGTATATATGTCAAGTGTGAATATTGTTCCAACACAACTGAATGCGTTTGCTGCTATAAACACACCCAGGAGAAATTCCAGTATGAGTTGTGTGCACTGCACAGCAACTAGAAACTCCACTGCATTGCTGCCTGCCCATGAGGTTCTGGTACTTAAAGTAAAAAAAGAAGCACAAATAAGCTGTTAAGTTTAAATTTGAGTTTCAGATAATATTTAAACTTAGTCAATATTGTTTTAACTTCATATCAATCTTTGTCATACCTCTTTGTGATGATGATGATGGTATTTAATAATAATGCCCTGCAATTAAATGGTGCCTTTTCGTCCACAGATTTCCAAGAGTGCTTCATATATAGGTGGGGGGGGCTGCTTTATCCACAACTGAGACAGGATTCACCTGGGTGATGCACAGCAGACATTTTGGGCCAGTAGTCCCGTTTCACAGCCCATTGGAGAGAGAAGAGAGAAATTGCTATGCCAGTTCAATTGCAGGGGGATTTTATGCAGACCAAAGTGGGATTCAGCCAGGACATTGGGGTTAATACCCCTAGTTGAACAAAGAGTGCCATAGAATCTATAGTGTCATATCTCCTCTGACAGATGACACCTTGTACAGCAGAATACCCCCTTTCACCTTAAAGTGATGGTTTTGAAATTGAGTTTGGTGTGAGAGCTGGGGACTACGTATTGTGTCCTTCAGAAATTTCTAACATGCAGCTCTTTGACTCCTGTCTGTCTAGACCTGTACATTGATGAAAAGAAGCAGTGCTACAAGGACTTAGGCTTCAAAAGGTGAGTCCGCTGACCTTTTCTTTTCAAAGAGCAAAATGGACAGAGGGAGAGAAAGAAGCCCATTTTGTCTGAACACGTCAGGTCAGCAGGAAAGTAATTATTGTCCAGTCATTTTAAACCTTCGTCTAATTTCGTACTAATAACCAAAACCGTGACCGGATTGCATCCTGGATTTGCACTGAAATTCTGCAGCACCTTGCCAGAAATACTGTAGGAGGAGAAAGCAGGGTGTGTTTTGTGAGATGGAATACAGTGTCCATGCCACGTGCTGATATTACAGCACATTCTGGTGCTCGGTGCATTCCTGTGCCTTTAGAAACCCCGTGTATTTCGAATACAGTAAAAGCTTGTCCAAGGAAGTCCGTTACTCATAGATGCATTAGAATATTAGCTTCAGGTGATCTGAAGTGTGTGGTCCTGTTCCTCATCTGCCAGAAACCAGGCTTCTTGTGTGCAGAACCACCTCACTGGAGCTCCCCGTCGAAAATCATTTGAGACTCTGCCACTGTCGGCGTTTTAAAATCCACACGAAGACCGTCCTTTCTTCCTTTCTCTCTAGCTTTGAGCACGTAAACTAGTTTAACTGTTCGTCGGTTTCATGTGCATTTCTCTTTTTGCCTCTTTGATGCGTTATGTAAAAAGCATAGACAAAACAACACCCAGAGATGAAATGACGTTTGTGGCGTTCAGCAGTTGCAGGCCTATAGAATGAATTCGCGCACACGGTAACAAGCGAGCTCCACGCTTCTGTCTTGCTCACAGGTACTCGGCTTTGAGCGTGGTGCCCGCGGCGTTGGGGAAGAAGGTGCGCGACGTCGTCACCAAGGTAACTCGGACAAGCCTGGTATCACTGATCGCAGAGGGTCTGCTTCCAATTGAAGAAAGGTGCCAATTAGGCATCGGCTCAAATTCAGATTGAATGCTAAACAGCTGTCTCTGTGCATGTATTCATTGTAACGGGTATCGGATTTTTAAAATGCTGGTTTTGCAGTCTGGAAGTGTCAGTCAGTTCTCATGCCAGATCTCCCCAGAGCCCTCAAGTGTCCCTTGACAAGGGGCCTGGCCTTTTGGTGTAGTAGGTGTGAGTCTTGCCTGGGCTGTGCAGGCTGGGTGTCTTGAGTCAGCTGAGAGACAGTGGTTCGCAGGTCAGTCCCTGACTGCTGATTTTACAGCTCACTGCCCTAATGAGTAACATGTCAAATACTTGGTGCTCATGGGGTTTTGCAGAAGGTATCCCTGGAGCATTTAAAATCAATGCAATGCAAGCTTCTTTTGATCAGCAACATGGTGCACTTTTCAAGGTTTTCAGAGGTCCCAGAGTTCTGTTTTTCACTCTGTCCAAACAGTAATTGACTATGATGTCACATATGAAAATGTTATGTCTTTTCCTGAATAGAGCAGAAAGCACTGCTCTTGCTGGTGGTTTGAGGGGTGCAGAGAGTACTCCACACTGACCTCGCTGGGTGTTATAGGAGCAGTACTGTTCTTCCTTTCCAGGCAAATGCCCAGGGGATCCAAGGGAACTTCAGCGGCGATCTCTTACAGAGTGGAGGCATGCTCATCGTAGGAAAAGGTAAAGTAAAAAGTCCTGCCACCTGTAGAGTTCTGTGTGAGTTCAGTCTGGCACAGGGGGCAGGTAACCAGGAGCTGATCAGTCCATGGTTGAGTGGTGCCAGTGTAGCTCAGTTAAAGTAAGGCATCACATGATTCTGTGTATTGTTATGATTCACAACTAATAAATGCTAAAAAAAAGACGCAATGTTTCAGCTGTGGAGTCTTCTTCAGGTGTGAAGGCTCACCTGAGCACAGCTCCACAGCCAAGATGTTGCATCTCTTTTCTTTTTCCTGTCAGCATGGAATAAACCTTTACCTGATCCTTTGCAGCCTGCACGTGCTGACACAGCTACCTTCTTGAACTTTTAATAATAATAAATTGCGTTTATACACCCGTACTGCTTTTTAATTCGTTCCCAAGAACCCTTTTGTATAGTGAAAATCTGTAAAACGAAAAACCTATTTCCATTATTTCTTATGGGGAACAATTGCAATCCCTTTCATACCCCAAAATTGTCACCCCTACTTTTACTTTATTCACCACAAATTGACAAAAAACAGCAATCATAACTAAGATTCATACTCTGGTTTGTGTTCTTAGTAATAAGAAACGCTGCTTACCTGGTCAGACATCATTAATGATACCTAAGTACGTTACTGTACTGTGCAGTAACCACAACACTTGCTTTTTGTGTAATTACGCACACCCTCACAGTTTTCATTTTCTGAACACCTCTAGGGTCCATGATGAAGTTAAACCACAAAAAGTCTTACCAAAAGTCATGGCACTCGCAATAGTGAACAGCACGCAGCGCAAGAGGCGGTGAACTGTATCACATGCCTCTTGTGCCACTCTGTAGGCTCTGGGCTAGCTCTCACCCACTGCACTTTGTGATACTGGGCAGCCTTTCTGCACCCACAGCATCACTGTGTAACTGATCAGGAGAAGTAACTTACTTCACAAACTCAATGAAGGGGGGAATTGAAGGAAGCTAGATTGTGCAAGCCCGGAGCGGAACTCAGCCAGGATACAGGGGGTGCTCTTGCAGGCAATTTGGAGGACAGCTGTCCTCTGAAGTGTCCTTTTAGAGTTAAGGAAAGGCTTACGTTTGCATCTGTGCTGCTCAGACCTGGTTGAGCTATTGTGGTCACCATCGTAACGCAAACACCAGAGGGCAGCAGTGTATCAGGATTGTCCAGTTTCATCCTGAACTGTTGAGGTGAGCTCTGCCCTTTGTAATCTTACATCTCGGACACTGGTTTAAGTGAGAAAAGGAAAACTTTTACTGCTTTTTAAAAACTGTGCAAATATGAAGGTAAAGCATAGTAACAGCAGACATCATAACTCTGCGATTTAAAAGACAATTTCTTTTGCAGAATGGGTTAAATTTGCCTTTCTTGTCTTTCTGTTTTAAAATTCTTGTCTGGGTATGAATTTTATCATCTAATTAGGGACACTTCCTTTTAGGGTGAATTGCTAACTGTATTGCTTGTTGCACTGCCTCAGGTGGAGAGAAAGTTCTGCTGCACTTTGTCCAGGACTCCCCAGGAGATTACGTGCCCCTGGAGACCATTGTCCAGACACTGGGCATCAAGGCCAGCGTGCAGCCTGGCCAGAGACCACAGGTGAGTGAGACCAGACAGAGCTGCCCACACTAATTTATTTGGGAAACAAGAAGTTGGTTGAGGTGGTGGTGAATAATTCCTACAGGCAGATTATCTCCTATAGCAGTGGTGCCCATTCCCGGTCCTGGTGACCTATACACCAGCTGGAGTTTGTGCCCGCCGAGCCCTCAGTTACACAATCAAACCCTTTGTTGACTTAATAATAATGAGATCAATTTGAGCTGTTTGTTCTCAGCTCTTACACATGTGAATACGCAAATATTCAGTTGAAGCAACTTCTTAGATCAGGTAGAGCTTCACTGATCTGATGAAGGTGGGAGGAATTGAATACCAGGAGCTGTGTGAGAGGACCGGGATTGGGTACCATGGTCCTGTACCATGCTTGTGTTTTAAAAGCGACATGAAGAAGTGACATTTTGCAAGGAGAGCATGAAGTGGCAGGTGGATCAAACACCCCAAGTCCATCAGCTTCTCTTGTTCTTCATTTCTCATGGGTTGAACATCACACAATTAAAGATTTACAATAAAATCTAATTTAACAATCCAGCTAAGCGCAAGAATGAATCGCTGGAGTAACCTGCCTTCTTCTAGAGTAATCTTCAGAGTGCCTTGATTGATTCTCCATTGACTGGTCCTCAAGTACCACAGTGTGTTTCTGATTTTCAGTCTCACATGTGCGCTCCATTTCCTAATTTTGAACTAATTATTCATATTGATTGGCTGTGTTTTTTTCCCTCCCCCCACACATTTTTTAAAAGGTGGGGGCATACAGATGAATAGGAAATGTGCAGGACAGTGTGTCTCCTGGATTATAATCGACCATTCCGATTGGAATGTGACCATTGTGACCATTCCTGCTGTAAATGATGTGTCCAGGATGGGTGTCGCTGACTGTGTGTGAAGGATTTTCTTTCAGGATGCAAGAATATACCAATCATGTCACAGGCACAGTGTTGGGAACAGTGTGCAAAATCACAAAAAAAAAAATCAGGATTATCAGAGTCAGTGCTAACTCAATACTGTCAAGGTTGAATAATCTCAGTAATTCCAAACTCTACACAGGAAAAAAAAATCTGTAGTCCTTCATCAGATATTGTATTGGATTCATAGGTTCTGTGACTTGGTGCCGAGGGCACTGCTTTGAAAATGGTTAAGATCATTGTGCCCATTCTAGAAAAACGTGTGAAACAACTTTAAGGGGGGTTAAAGTTACTCATCTTTGTGAATAGAATTTACAGCTGGGACTTGGACAACAGATTAACTTCACATAGTATAGACACAGTGACTGTGCTGTAGCTGACTCACATGGTAACCCCCTGTGGCACGCAGCTGCTTGTAAAACTGCATCCTTTAAAGCTCATCCAGTCTTGAATTCCCCACTTTCTTTCCTCTTCCATCCAGCTGCACGTGGGGTTGGTCGGCTGTCCTGAATGGGGCGTTTGTTCGCAGAAGTCAAAGTTATCGCTGTGCTACTTGTACACCTGACCCCACGCTGGATACAACAACTGTAACTTCTTTGTCTGAACACGGATGACGGAAACGAGGAATAACTCGATTAATTTAAAAGGGGAGAAAATCTGGCAGAAAACATCTTCCAACAGGCACTGAGGGTTCTAGGTTAATTACGGCTCTGATGTTTCCCATGCTAGAGAACAGAGCAAAGTAACTTAACGCACTTCTGATGTACGTCTTTGTCGAATTGTGCTCCAGCCATCCCCTTAAGTATTCAACTGTTAATTGAAAGCAGGACCCACACTTGGGCAGTCCTGTGGCTCAGCGGTATTGCTGCCTCACAGCGCTGGGGCCCTGGGTTCAATTCCAGACCTGCGTGGAGTTTGTGTGTTCTCCCTGTGTTTTTTTGAGTTTCCTGCGTGTGCTCCCGTTTCCTCGCACAGTCCCAAAATATACTGGCAGGGTATTTGGCTTCTGGGAAAACTGGCCCTGGTGTGAGTGTGTTTGCGTCAGTATGCCCTGCGATGGACTGACGTCCCGTACAAGGTGTATCCCCTACTTTGGCCCGTTGCTGGCCAGAATGGGCTCGTGCTCCCCTGAGACCTTGAATTGGTTAGAAAATGGATGATCAGAACCTGCTAGTTGTCGTTTCAGGTTATATTATAGTACCTTGGTGTTAGTCAGGTTTCTGGTGCTGATCAAAGCACTGTTCAATGGAAGCTGTCATGGATTGCGGCAGTTAACATTGTTGCGAGTTTGCTCAGGGCAGGGATACAAAAAAAAAACAATTTTGGCTTTCTAGAAACCTGAGAAGAACATCCATTTGCAAAATCTAAATAACTGGGATAGGTAACCACTTACGAAAATTCACTGCCCCTGTCATAGCAGTCTGGGAACAGTGAGGTTATGTCGCTGGCACCTCGCTGTCTACCTCTCTGCCAAAGTCTGATTCTCTGCACCCTCCTGCAGGAAACAAGCAGGCTTAATTTATTAGGGTTTCTGTAGAATTTGCTAATTTCCTTCTTCCTCTGGTGTATTTTTAACATTAAGTTTTTTTTTTTGGTGACCTTTTCATATTCTCCAGTTCGGTACTCTCGGATACGTCAGAAAGCAGAATGTACAGCACAGTGCAGACGTGCTTTCAGTCCTGCTGGGCTGTTTTGGATGTTTTGTTTGGGTGGGTGGGGTGGGGTTTGACCCATAAACTTCAAGGTGACACAATTGTGTGTCTCTGAGAGGCTCTTCCAAGAAAAATAATCCAAGAGAAAATAGTTAAATTCTAAAGGGAGCTGGAGTTGATATTGTTCCTCTCTGGAGTTCAGGCCTCTGCAAGAGAACTCGATCATATCGGCGTTATCGTGCCGGCTCTCGCCAAGCATTTTCGGACAATTTGATCAGTTTGACTTCCTTTTTTTTTGTTTGCAAAGACAGCAGGCCTCCTTAACAGCTCCACCCCCTCCCTTGGGGTAATTTTTGAAGTGGCCAGCAGGTAATTTTAGTCACAATTAAAATAGGTGGCAAGGGAACTCGAATAATAACACACAGCGACCCCTCCACCCACACACACACACCATCGGTAGCTGCCTCTGCCCGCCCCCCCCACCCTCCAGAGCGCAGGCCCAGCCAGTGCCCAGCCGCTCTGTAAACAAGGTGTCGCTCAAGCAGCTGTTATCGGAGGTGTGGATCTGGGGTGGAAATCATAAACTTCTCCCTGACGGATCTGCCTCAGTCACCAGGCTTCGCCAACAATGATGGGGCCTTTGAGATCGGGGGGGGGGCTGTTGTTCTCTTTTTCCCTCAGGAAGGAAGGACATGTCCAGATCTGCAGAGCTGCTCCACTGTGCTCATTATTTTGTCGGCAGATATTTCAACAGGATAGACTGCATGCTGCTCAGTCCCACCCCACCCCCCCCGCCACACACACACTTACCCCCTCCAATCTGAGCCAGCCCAGCGCAGATGGGACTGTCACTTGCTCATGTGTTCATTTTATTTTCACCTGACTTTAGTGGGATCCGTCTTTAAACCAGCTCATTTGTAAGGGCGGGCCCGAAGACATTAAACATAGCTTGGGTTTCTTTTGCATTGTGTGGGGCTCTTATTTCACAATCCCAGTTTTCCACCATTAACCAGACAGCGATTCCAAGAAGGAGTCTGGGACAGTATAAATACAAAACGGTTATCTGCCTTTTGGGAACAAATGGAGCAATACTCCTCTTTTGTAACTATTCAAATGCAAACTAAATGGATGCCCCCCCACACACACACATTGCACTCTCAATGGTTTTTAAATTTAAACAGCCTGCAGATTAGTTAAAAATGTGCGTCCCCCTCTTTGTCCCCTCTCCCTCACAGGTGTTTCCCTGCCCGGGCTTTTACATTTCTCCCTCCTTTCCAGTCGCAGCGCCCTCGGGAGGAATCCCAGAGAAGCGCGCTGCCTGCCCTCTCTCCGCCCTGGTTGTCCTCAAATCCCCTCTCTCGTCTCCCGCTGTCTGTGGGCAGTCACACCTGATCAAAGACCCGCTGTTCCCTGACGGAGCAGGGGAGCGAGGATTAGTCCTGACATCCTCGAAATCGCCGTTTAAGGGCGACGGCGCACGCTGCTCTGCGGGGAGCGTGTAATTGGGCTGTCAGACCTGCGGAGGCCAACCAGCCGAGCAGAAACACACCCGGCTTAATGAGCTCGTTATCTCCCCTTCCAGGGAGAGAGGGGGAGGCAAGGCTGGCTTGGGGGACCTGGGAGCACAGAGAACTGGTGTTGAGTAGCAGTTACAGACGGGTGGCTAGGAGGCAGTGTTGGGTTATTGGCAGAGACCCAGGAAACGCCGTGGGGCGAGAACGATCAATTAGGTACGAGGGACTGGCAAGGGCAGTTATTTTCAATCCTCACCGCACAAAACAGGAGTAATCAGAGGTGTTCAAAACCAATTTTGTGATTCTGATTTCACCCGGTTTTCATTTTTTTGTGTGTGTTCTGTTTGAATCATGTCCTTCCAGTGCAACGACGAGGTGTGCACGAGATAAAGTCGCTGGGAAGTCCAAAGGACTCTGGGAAGCGGACGCCACATTCCGGAGTTTTCCTTGGAAGCACTGCAAGGCTGGGCAGCCCTCATCTCGGTTGGAAGGAAGGGTCTGTACTCCCCCCTGACAACACAGCCTTTGAGTTAGTGGTGCTCATGATTTTACAGTCACTTTTGGGTTTATCCGTTTAATTGTTTATTACAATTATGTTGAACTTAAGTGACACCCTAATTGAGTTGTTAAAAGAATTAACTTATTACCACTTTTTCCATGTGCATGAACCTCATTTGCTTCTGTTTTGATGTAGGTCTGAGAAATACAGGGCAAATATAAATAAAAGATGTTTTTGAGTAACAGATTCAGTTAATGATAAGGTTGGGGGTCTAGTACATTTCTGTAAAGGTGTCTTCTGGATTCATATAGATACAGCTCAAAGGGATGGTATACAGATGTCCTGCTTTCACTCTCTGGGACTGAACAACTTGATAGATTGCAGAATTCATACACTTAAGTCACCAGCTATAATCCTCACAAGCCACTTTATTTTCTTGTGAGGAGTGGTCCTTTTTGATGCACCCCCAAAAACTGTTCTTTGCACTTCCTGAGGTCTTGCGTAGTCAAATACCAGAGGTCTGGTGACAGGCGGAGCATATGTCCCTCTCAGAGTGTTTCAGTGTTTTAAATCTCATGTATTGTTTCAGATGCCATTGGGTGAAACAGACTTCTGCCTAACCTTTATAGTGCTTACCTAGGAAAGGTCTGGAATTATTTGGTACAGGCTGATCTTACTGAGAAGGATTATGAAATTATTTTTATGTTTTATAAACTTGTACATGTTAAGCTTGCATATGTCATCTTATTAAAACAGTTAGAACTTTTGACTACTGTGTATTTGAATTTCAATGCGTTACTGATAATGTACATGAACGATGCTTCATCAGGCTAAATTTTGAGAAGATTTCAATATGATGTATTCCATGTTTGCAGAAGAGTAGTAAGGAGGCCTCCACAGTCTGTATTGGAAGGTTGCAGGCTTGGGATCCTGCTGTAGACAATGCTGTTATCACTTTAAATCAGATACTTTACCCCTTTTGATCTAGCAACTACTAGTATGATGGGATGTGTGCGTTTGGAAGATAAAAATGAACAGCCCCTACCAATACTCTCTTTAAAAATGTTAGAGAAGACGAGTAAGCACAATTTTTGTGACACTTTGAGGAAGTGTTATTGGTGATGTTCATGAAATATATGGAGTGCAGGGATGGCCAAGCATGGCCCCAGATGGCTGATGTCTTTGCAGTCTTTCCAGTTCAGCCCTGAATAAGATAAATCCCTCAAACTACTGGGCTTAATTGGATTTATGAGCTTCATGCAGCTCTTCAGGTGCTGCTGCTTTAAAGAGACTTAGAGCAACCTGCAGACACGCCAGCCAGGACCAGGATGGGACACCCCTTGTACAGAGTAATGACTTAATATCCTTCTAAAATACTTTTATCATGCTTGTCTATCTAGGAAGACGACAGTACATAATGCATCTGCAGTAAATGACATCCTTTGTGAGAGAAATGTGTTCTGGAGTAAGAGCACAGGTTTTTGTGTACAAAGTTCAATAAATGACAAGTCAAATAAATGTACACCACTCTTGGTCCCATGCATACAAGTGCATTTTTTGCATGCTGGCTGGAACATGGAGACCCACTTCCACACACAGATGCTCTTGTGTTGCTCTGTGAATAACAATCAGTGTGTTGAATGTCCTTGAAAGCTCCCATAGAGTCACTACACGCAAACCACAGAAGAGAAACGCAAGCCAGATCATTCTGTTTTTAATGGATGGAGTTGTTTGTCTTTAATCGCAGAGCACATGGTACACAGCGGTTAAATAGCAAAAGCTGATTTGTCAAAGCAGTTTTTACATAATCTCATTAAAAACTACCTAATAGAAACCAGAAATTGATAACGAGTCTTCTAATTATATGATTATCACAATGGCACAGAGTCGTAAGAAAAGAGAAATCCATTTTTTTGTTGTTTTCTTGTAAACAGTCCATGGGCAGAGCTCCTGGAGGCGTTGAGTAATAATAAAAGGAATTTCTGACTCGCTCAAGCTCTCTTTTTATTACAAGAAGGCAATTTCGTGGAAGGCTGCTTCCCCGGGCTCAAGGGGATGTCTCTCGATCACAAGTCGCTGCTGTGTCTCCCTGCTCTCGGTCTCCTGAAGTGGGATCAGAGGGCCAAGTAAACAACAGTGGCAAGAACTGTGGCTGCTGTCCCAGAGGGCCTTGGTTTTGACCAGACTCCCCTTTTGTTTGGAATTTTACTTATTTGAATTATTTTTGGCTTAGTTTACTGCCTCTTAACTCTTTTGCTTAAAAAAAAAAAGCCAATGGTCATGAAAGGGGAGCTGCAGTCCGAATTTCCCAGACTGGTTATTAAACCTTGATGACAAAATGAATTCATTGGCATTATAGAAAAAATTGTGCAAATTTTGAATAAAGGACGGAATCGTGAACTTTGTGAGAGTGTTGTGAGATACCATGTGGCCGCAAAGCGTAAGGGAAAAGCGAGAGTTCTCACGACTTGCGATGTGATGCAGCCCTTCGTGCTCACTAGTCACTGTAATGTGATTGTATGAGCAACTTAAGTACAGGTTGTGCAGCAAATATTTCACTACAGAAAGTTGTTCGACGTGATCTGCATGCAGAGTTAAGAAGTAAGTTCCATTTATCGGCAAAATTGTGTAGAAAATGAGAACAATATTTTTTATTGGATTAAAAGAGATGTATTCACAACCCTGCTTGTTAAAATTGTAATGGGGCCAAATCACTTCACCAGAAATTTTGTTGCCGCGTTCTGAATTACAGAACATGGCACTGTGCATATCTGCAAATTTCATCTAATTTGTGATGTAGATTGATTACTTTTATTGTGATTGAAGTGCACTCATCAATGCTGATTTTCCTAACCCAGAAATATAATAGCGTTGCAGTTCCCCTTTAACGGATGGGAGTGGGGGCAGGGGTTGTCAGCTGTCATGTGGTGAAGGGGGAGTGGCAGATCAACCTCCAGTTTAACCTGCTCTCGAACCCTGAACTGCAGAGCTGAGGCGTGGATACGGCGGATATATTGGCTGAGGTCGCGCAGCCCTGTGCCATCCGGGAGCACACAGACAAGAAAACATGTCTTGACCATCGCCTTAGCCGACTGACCCTGGTGCCGAAGGTCATGTTCATAATTAAGAGGAGCTGGAACAAAGGCAGTGTAAACACCAGACTGACCCCGCCTTGGCTGGGCCACACTGCCTCCTGGACACAGGAAACAGCATCACAGCCCCTGACTCTCCTTTCGCATTACTGAGCGCCTCAGAGGAATCTCTGCCCAGAGATAACACTGTCATTATTAGTCAGTACAAAGTATTCACATTCATGTTTACTGTACAGGTCGTTAAGACCTCAACTGGAGGGAAAGAGAAGGTGTAGAGAAAACAGGCTCTGCTCAGACGTGCAGCTGTTCTGGAGATCGGACTGGGCTGGAGCTATGAAGATCAATCCTCATGTCCAAATGGTTCGCCCACGGCCACAAAGCCAGGTTAAAACACGTTTCTCCCTTTCATTTAGAACTTCTGTCGTTCAATGCTGTTGGTTGCGGAAAATCGCTGATGTACATAAAACAGATCCCACAAGATTTACTTTGTTTGCGCTTTAGGGACAGGGCAGCATGCACGAAACTTAGCATCACCTCAGCTAAACGTAAGACATACAGTATTAAAATAGCTTAGCTAATGGTAGTATCTTCCATGGTGTTTTTAAAAGTACATCGCGACATTTGCATTAAGTTTTTGGCTTATTGTCTAAACATGATCACTGTGTTTTCTGTAATGCTTTTAAAGACTTGTCATGATTTCAGTTCCTTCTGGTTGAGGCTATGCTGCCCTGAACAAAACAAGGTGATTTACTCCCCATAATGCCTTATTGTTCTCCAGAGCAACTAGTCAGGCTACTAGTACAAAACAGCAATGCCCTGCATGAGCCTCAGGGACAGATAAAGCAGCAGGAAGAGTGAGAAGGAAAAAAACAAACAAAGGATGTGAAAAGAGAGAGTGAGTATGCAGGTCTATACATTCAGTGAGCTGAAGTCGCTGCGAGGAGAGATAACAGTCTATTACCAAGGCCTGAGCCTTTCTGCAGTTTGCAGTTTCTGTACCGAGATCGCAGCCCCTGATCTAGAGACTGAATAAAAAGCAATAAACATAGTTAAAAGGTTAGCTGCAGAGGTTCTGAGACTGGAACGGCAAAGAGTGTAAAAAAAAGTCAGCTGACTAGAGTAGAATTGACTGGACTCTTATATGCTAAAAACACCTGGCCGTTTCTGCTCATATAGATCATTATATGAAACCAATTTGCTATACTGTCAAATACATAATGTCTATACAGTCAAAGGAATGCAGTGCTCCTGTGACATTCTGTTATTTTAATCAGAAGTGCATTAGAATGAAATAACTATGCTTTTGTCTTTTGTCTGATACTTTTATCTGTATATCCTTATATTGATTGCTTGAAACTGCTTAACCACCCAAGACTTATTCATTGGTAAGCTCTTCAGGCTCAGTGTTTCTCAGGGTGGTAATATTGCTCCCAATGACAGCAGTATCTCGACTGCCTGCCCTGATCTACTCAGATCTGCTCTCACAAGCTCAGCAAGGCTAGACCAGGTCAGGCCTGGGATGGAAGGCCTCTCAGGAAATAAAAGGTGCTGCTGTAAGTTAAACAAGCGCTGTATAATTGCAATTAATTCTTAATTATTATTTTTTTTTAATTCCGCGTAATGTTCTGCAGGCGTCTAAATTAAATGTCTTCTACCGCTTGTCCGCCCAGTCTCACATTTTCTCAAAATCTTGAATTTTTTATGCTGCTTCTATCATGCTTGCTAATCCTCCTAGTTTAGTACCATCTGCAAGCTTGACTATCTCAATAACTATATCAGAATGTAGACTGTGGTGGGCCTAATAAAAGTTCCTCTGATATATCATTAATTTCATCTCCCCAATTTGAGCATTCAGCCATTTCTCTGTTTTCTGTTCACAATTCAAATACACCATCTCTCTTTAATGCCTACCACCTGCAATTCAAGAATGAACCTTTAATGGCGGCCTTTATTAAAAGCCTTCTGAAAATCTGAAGAGGCCATATGCTTTATCATTGTTACCATTACTTGTTAGGAGAATTCTATGAAATTTAAGTAAAACCTATCTCTCCTAAATCCATGCTGACCACCCTCTATGATCACATTGTCAATCAGATCATCCAGTAATTTACTTCTTATGGTCACATCCATAACCTTACATGTAAAGGAACTGAGTCTTGCTGAAATATAAGAACCTGGTTTGAGATGTTAATGAATTATCACAGACATGTAAGGATAAACAGTTGGGGCTTCCTCTTTGCCAAACAAAATGGAATGCTGTTGACTTATGGTAAGAAGTATTTCAGAAGCCAAAGAAATGTTTCAAATGCTTTGCCTCAGTGTTGTCCAGGTTTTCGCAGCTGGAGCAGTAGAGCTGTGTAAACCTGCTGTACTCAAAGCAGCAGATGGGTGCTGCTGTCAAAAGAGCACACTTCTGACACCACGCTGCAGTCGGGTCGTGGGAGTGGGAACAGGGCAGCAGCAGCTACAGAACATTAAACTGAACTCCAGGCATTTACTGCTGTGTTGGGGGGAGGGAGGCCTTTGGAGGCCTAACGTCTTTGATCCAAACCCAAACGTCAGTCATGAATCTTGTGGAGTGAACATGCTGTCTATCATTGTGCAGCAGGATTCACCAGGCAGTGGATTGTTCAGCCACAAATAGGCTAGATTAGCTGGGACTAGAGTGTCGTGAGACTGGCTAGTTTTACCTTCCTGATGATGAGATGCTACAGTGGTGATCCTGCTCCATATGGGAGGAACTGTAGACTCGGTGTTTGGTGTCTGTGCTGGGCTGAGGATGTGAAGTTTGTGAAGCTGCGTTCAGTGGGATCATTGGTTTTATTACAGATTCCCCCCCCCTAAAAAGTACACGGTCAGCTACCAACTGCTGCGGAAAAGAAACAGCGAAAAGGCTGTCTCAGACTCCAAAGACACTTGTCGTGTACAGAGCTGACTGAGCCGGTACTGCTCGGCTGCTGTGAAACAGCACCGCCCGTAAGATTTTCTGTGAGGTTAGGCCACAGAATTGGGACAGCGGAGCCGTCTAGCCGTGACCAGGTGCTGAACGCCTAGGCGGCTGGTGCAGAGAGAGATCGTTTAATTCAGCGCAGTGTAAACTCCGGAAGGACCCTGCGGGGTTTATCGAGTGAGGAGAGGGACGCGTCTCTGTAAACACGCTGTTCTGATTACACGATTGCCAGTTATTTTTAGTGAGACTTCCTTCCCGTGCTGACAGCCAGTCTTGTTTTGTCAGGTGGGATGAGAACTGAGAGCTGGCAGCCCGTTCTGAAATTGCACTGCCTAAGTACTGCTGTTCGAGCCCAGTCTGATAGCAATCACCATCAGATTCTGTGGGGAGCTTAGTAAAACACATTACTGATTTGGAATATCCCAGTCTTGGTGCAGGAGAGCCATAGTCTTTGCAGTTTCATTCGTAAACTTAGATGATCAGTGAGTAGAGATCTGGAAGCATGCTGACTTCCTCTAATTAAACAATTAATTGGTCCAGTTAAGTCCATTCCAAATACACTAAAAAAACACCAGCTCTCCAAGGCCGGTACTGGACACCTCTGACTTAACCAGTGACCAAAAGATCAAAAGCAATTTAACACGCATCGAAGGAAAAACTAAAGCTATCAGCCAAAGTCTGAGCTGCCATTTGAAAGATGAAAAGCATAATTACTTTGGAGTTACAAATGTGCTGCACATCTTATTATTGTATATACTGTACATATAATGTTATTTTTTTCATTTGTATTCATCCGGTTGGAAAAAGGTTGGCTCTTGCCATAGAGGTGTCCAGATGGCTGGACAGACAGTTTTCGTATTCTGCGACAGAGGCTGGGGAGGTCAGGCCTTCAACTTGCATGGGGCAGTTTCCACATACAGTAGGAGACAGACAGAAGTGGGAAATAGCCTGGCGGCCCTGAAGGGACCAGAGCAATGTCGAGTCACACAAAGCAGCCAAGTCTGATAATGCTGACAGAAAATGTGGGTCTTTCACCCTTTTAATTAATAGGAAGCTTTGAGGAGAAAATGCACCTCTTCTGAAAATATGTGCTTTGCAAAATATATAAATAGCGCTGTTTTTTAAATATTCAGAGCCTTACACAATCCAGGCCTACATAATAAAGAGTGTTGAGTGGCTGATAAAAGGCCCATCAACATCCTTCAGATCCCATGGGTCTGCATGTTGCATGTCAGCTGAACACTTGGCATTTAAAAGCAATGAGCCAGTATGCCTTTGGAATATATTAGGGCTTGTGGAAATACGTTCCTTTAAAAAATTGCCTGAATGTTTTTTTTTTGTGACCATAATAGCTTGGAAATATGATTACGGAAGGAAACCTCTTTCATTTGCTTCCCATTGTGACACTTGGTTGTCAGTTCGAATAGCACTTCAGCAGGGATAAGGACAGGCAGTTCAGAAGAATGACAGAGAAGAGACAGAGATTCGGAACTGACATTCGGAAATTGGCACAAAGCAAGCCACGAGGAACACAGTGCAATCCTAGGATTGGTATCCTTACAGCATATCTAGAACAGAATGGCTCATCAAAACATACACAGCAGAAGGCTCTGGAAGGAAATGTCTCCAATGCACTGACAACCCCTCCAGACTTAGTTTAATACTTTTTCATATACAGTATGTGAATTTATCCATAATGCTATGAAGTAATAATCATAATACATTTGATATTAATATTGAGAAGCCCTTAGCACTCTATCTTAGTTACAATTTAAGTATTTAGTACATAAGTAGATGCCACAGTTTTTTCTTACTTTATATACAGATACATTTAAAATGCAAGACTATGCTAGTTGAAAAGAAAAAAGCAGAGCACTGTGGCTTATTCTTCACAGTGTTTAAAACACGGCGAAGCATCTTTGGCTGCTTGAATTTGGAGTAAATTAACGTTTTGTAATGCTAGACCAGAGGTTTCTAATTTTGGTTCTGGAGGGTTAGTGAGTCTGCAGGCTGTCTAGGTTTCTTTAAAGCAGCCAAGCCTGTACAGCTGGGAAAAACTGTTAAATTAGTCCAAATAAGCGAGTAATAAGATCATTTAGGTCATTAAGAGCTGAACACAGTGACCCTCCGGGACTGGAACTGATCAGTAGACCTGCCTGATTTGCAATGGGTATAAATGTATCTTAAAGACAATCAATGCAGACGTCCTCTCTTAAAACAGAATGAAACACAGTACCTGGTTACTGAGGAAACACTACTAGAATAATACAATCCTCAATCTAGCTCTGGGGAAAATGGGATTTAGACAGGAAGTAAAATTGTGTTTTTCTTGTTAGCCGCGCTCTGTAAATAACTCCATATAAAATGAATCAAAAAATAAAATACCAGTGATAATTTATAAAGGACACTCTGGAATTAATTAAAATGTAATGCTACAATATATTATTCTGTATCTATAACAGTACTGTAGTTTCAGGTGTACGTTTCTTGGCATACTTGACTTTGTCAGAAAAGGCAGTGACAGCACTACAAGCCACCTGGTTAAATTTGAGTTTTAAAAAGCAGAAAATAATTCAACAGTCTTTCAGTCTTGCGTCTTGCATTCGATGCAGCCAGCAATCACTCTTATTATCCTATATGCTACACACTGGGTACTAAACAACCATCTGGAAAAACCCAGAGTCCTTTCCAGGCCTGTTTTTTAAATCAAATGCTTTTCCTAATTGTTTCATATCCTGTAGTGCGTATCCATTGGAAATCCCTAATGTTTATTTAAGCTTTTTCTTTGTTCCGATCAGGATTTTTGTTTGCAGTGCTGATTAACTAAACATTGTAGGACATTGATTTTTTTTCCCTGGGCTGTGGGCAGAACTAGAGAAAATGAGGCTATGGGGGATTATGGAAGTGTCGCACAGAGCTTTGCCAATGGGGATCAAAGCATTGTGCAACACCAATAATCCTCCCCACCACACCCCTTTCCATCACCTTCGGAGAGCTCCTTTCCAGGATCTTACCACAGACTAAGAGATGCTGTCAAATGAAATATTTTGAAGGGTGTTAGTCTGTACTTGTTAGGCATCCTATATTGAGTGTTTCTGGTTGATATGAGTGTAAAAAATGTGTTATAATTCTGGCAAACCAAAACAACAGCAGCCTTAAGTAGCCTTGCACAATGACTCCAAATACAAGATAGGCAAGTACATTTTTGTGTATGCATGGGCTTCATATATCTCATCTACTGTATATTGCACCAAACGGCAAGATTTTAGGTTGTTTAGTTTTACTGCAACTACTAGTATATATCCTAAGTAATTGTAGATCGCTCCTGCATTTCTGTACCTGTTTCCTGTTATGACAATCAGTCAGACTGCATCGAAGCCGCCACTCTGATGAGCAGGCGGGACACAAACTGTATGGTCAGGCACGAGATTGTCGCCCCAGTCGGTAAGCAATAGCCTGAGGCACCCAGAGAAAAGACCCCCCCAGCTACCAGACTCGGCATTTGACCTCAGGGTCCATGGGACTGCCCTTTTGACAGTGGAACGCCTCTGAGAACGCCCCGAAATTCTGGAGAGAGCCCATCACTCTGTGGAGGGAGAGAGAGAGAGAGAGGCGAGGTGACCGCTACAAGATGGAGGTAGGAATAAATTACACTCGCAAAGTGTGGGAAGTGGAATGGAGAGAGGGAGACAGAGAAACCAGAAGGGAGAAGGCCAGGGGGACTACTGTAATAGGCAGGAGAGGTTCTTCGGGAACGTTTTTTCCTTTTATTAAAGCCCTACCTGAGCTTTGATTACCCTCTAGGGTCATTTTGTATCTGTAACTCCAGGGCATCAGAATACCGTCAGTACATATTGTACTGCTGGAAAAGTAAACTAAGACAGAAACCTGTTTGTTCTGACCCATGGCCATCTGGTTTCTGAAGGATTTGTGTGAAGAATCCTTCCTTTACTTATAGTTAAGGAAAAAATGTGTTTTCAGTATTGATTTTTTTTACTATTTTAACCTGCTTTTGGGGTAATTCTCCTTAATTCCCACTTAAATACACCAAAATGCTGTAATTATCCAGAATAAATCAAGATGCTTTACGTTTGGCATTACAGCTTCTGGAGTGTTTTGCCTAGTCAGCCTCTTAAACACTGTTTCCAGGTGATGCTGATCACCAATTCAAAGCCTGTTTAAGAGCCAGAGCCAGTGTACATGGGGATAGATCTGGAAAGGAGTGTATTTATTTTTGAAAGTTGTTAAACGAGACCAGTCTTGACAATATACTTTTTCTAGAATGTATATGTATGCAGTGTGCAACAATCACAACAACAATATTTAGAATAATTCTGTCTCAAGTAAAAAAAGTCCTGTACTTGGAGAGCAATGTTTTCCTAAAACTGGACTGATTGGGTATTGCATTTTAAAAGAAAGCATGTAGTTTTAAAAGCAGGTGTGTGCTCATGGGAGGACTGGAGTTAGACAGACCTACCAAAAGGGTTAAAACACCCATTGTCAAGGATAGTAACTTACCTGTACTCTAGGGGGCTGTGTGAGTCTGTCTTGATGGACTGACTTGCGTATTCAGGCCTGTATGAGCCGCACCATACCTGAGGACAAAAGAGAATAAGAGTTTTAACTGCACGCAACTGTAAAAAAGCCCACATCCTCCTGCATTTTGGTAATACATTGATGAAAAAGCCAGGCAGGTAAAAATTATGATGGTCCAGTTGATAATAAAAAAGTTTGTTTTGCACACAATTGCTGGTTTAAATCATGACTGACTCTGCTGCTTTCACACTTTGTTACCTTGAACAGGATATTAAACAGGATGAGATTTAAATCCAAGTGCCTATTGTGTCATTTGAGGATTATGAACTCAAATTTATATTGTCCCAGGAAATTTCTTCATTTGTAACATTCAATCCCCATTTCATACAGTAATAATTGCTTATACTTATATAGCGCTTTTCTGGACACTCCACTCAAAGCACTTTACAGGTAATGGGGACTCCCATCCACCACCACCAATGTGCATCCCCACTTGGATGATGCTACAGCAGCCATAGTGTGCCAGAACGCTCACCTCACATCAGCTATCAGTGGGGAGGAGAGCAGAGTAATGAAGCCAATTCATAGAGGGGGATTATTAGGGGGCCATGATTGGTAAGGGCCAATGGGAAATTTGGCCAGGACGCCAGGGTTACACCCTAATCTTTTCGAGGAACGCCCTGGGATTTTTAATGACCACAGAGAGTCAGGGCCCCAGTTTTACGTCTCATCCGAAGGATGCCCCTGTTTACAGTATAGTGTCCCCGTCACTATACTGGGGCATTAGGACCCACATGGGCCGCAGGGTGAGCACCCCCTGCTGGCCCCACTAACACCTCCCTATTCTGGATGCACCTTTTCCAATTGTACACCAAGCTCCAATTGTGCTGGACCAACCCTGGCCACAGTCATCAATCTTGTGAGTCAAGTATGCTACACTGGTACAGCCATTGGGTTCTAAGTCCTTGCACTACAGTACTAATTCCCCTCCTGAACTCCTTGGACAGTGAAGTCACCACATGATCTTTGATCGCAGCTGATGTGGCTTGCAGCAGATTGCTGATTTGCAGGCAATATGGATGGTGGGGTTTGGAGGGAGTGAGATAAATTGTGTCCAGAGAAACCACACCACACTCTATCCTGAGAACCTTGAGATGGGAATCTTGGAGAAGAATCAAATCTGCTTTTTTCACACATTTGTGCCTTCATTCATGTTAGTGTCTTTTCTGTTCCTGCTGATGGGTGTGCAGTGCTCATGAGTGCTTTGTATTCAGTCAATAACCTTGCTTGTTCTTGTAGCATCTGGGTTTTTTGAAGAGCAGAAGTTCATAACCTTGGGCGTCTCTTGGCCTGACGCTTCAGTTATGAAAGAAATTCTTTTTTGGTTTGATTTCTTTGTTAATTTACAATGCAGCTTGTTTAGTGTGCTTCAGAGATACAAGAAGCACCACCACATTCAGGAGATGTTTGTCAGTGTCTCTGCGGTGCACTACTATTGGTCAATATGGTTTGGCGTGCATGCTGATTGGAGGATGGCAAGACATAATTTGCATGCCACAAGTGACATCATAAAAACCGAAAGGTCTCATTTGAACGAGGCTAAATATAGTCTTTTTTTTGTTCTTTGCTCTTAAATTATTGTCTTACACAAGCTTATACTGTACCATTAATATACATATAGTAAACTAGTTTATCAAAATAACTACTATGAACGTGTAGTGGGTTTATTGTCACAAGTATTGCTTCTAACACTCGCACATCTGTTTAAAAAACTTTAATTGCAAATTGAGCACTTTCGAAAATGGATGAATATTTAAAATACTAATAAAATGTCATGTGTCAACATGAAGCCACATTTTGCTTTGCTGGTGGAGACCTCCTCTTGTTGCAGCGTTTACAGAGTGAAAGTGTGGTCTGATTTGTCCAGTGACACGTCCCAGCGAACTCTCTCCATCTGTGGTAAACAGAGTGGTATTAAAATCATCTGATATTTATCTGCCGCTTATTTGTTTTTCTGCTGTGGTTTTTAGTATTTTTGGCACAGGCACTGACGCAGTCTACAAAGACCCCTGGGGGTCCTTGTATCCTGGAACTTGTGTGTGTTTTCCTCGTGACTGTTTTTTAAGCGGCACTCTGTGCCTCAGCTGATTAACTGTTTTAATCTGTTTTAATTCTGACAGTGAAAAGAAGCGCTTTTAAATGAAAATACAACTCTCTTGCGTCAGTGCCTCTGTGGCTAACACTGGAGGCATTTACAATATGTACCACAATACATCTGGTATAAAGGCAGCTTCCAGAGGGTGTTTTTAATTATAGGACTTTGGTATGTACTGTACATTCAGCTACTTTAGTTTTAAGTTTTTTACCCTCATGTTACACAGGCTCCAGATGAAAACATCTGCAAGGAGAGCTGGAGGTCAGTGAGGTTCTTAGGGCCATTTCTAGGTTGTGTGTAATGAGTGGAAGATACTAAGGCCTTGGAGACCATGAAGAAACAGACGTTTGCGTAGTGACCACTTTGCAGAAGAATTGTGCCAGCAGGACCACAGCTGTAATCCAGAACTTGCTACCTTACAGACTGAAATCTTCCCCTTTTCCACATCGCCTGCGAAGCAGCTTCAATGTTGTGAGTGTAATGGCCTGCATTGTGTTTAATGAGGCAGTTATGGTCAAGTCAGGTCAAGTCAGGCCTCAGCACCCCCAAAAGCAGGGGGGTTCCTCACACCCCTTGAGTTTTGGCTTAATGGACTTCTCTCCTTGATTGGTGTGTAGTATATGGCTGGGAAATGCCCTAGAGTCAGTAACAGAATCCTGTTTGGAGTCACTCAGGCCATTTTCACTATGAAAGAAAGACTTAGTGGACTACATTGGTGTGTTTTTAACAATTGTTATGCCCAACCAATTTGGATTTGTCATTTTTTACATCTTCGAGTCCTGTGCAGTATGGAGAAGAAAGGAAGACACGCTCCTACCCATCAACCCCTCAGAGCCTCTTATCTTTTAAACATGCTGCTAGCTTCACAGTGCCTGACAGGAGAGTTTGCACTGACTGGAGGAGACATGCATCCCTCACTGACCTCACTGCTAACCCGCAGATACTCAGCAAGTCAGAAACCCCGACCATCTGATCTGAACCCTACGTCTTGCAATGCTCAGCTAGTGACACGACCCAGGCTTGAACCCACGACATCGGTCAATCTCTGCTCGATTCTCAACCTGTGCTAAGAGTGAATTGAGCCAGGCCTCTTTTCTGTCATACAGAAACGTTTTTTAACTTCCATATTTCTTCTCCAAATTTCACTTCTCCCTCTTCACTGCTCTGTGCCGCCTTTTCTCCCTCTCTCCCCGGTTGTTGGCTCTCACTAGTGTACTGCTGGTCTTTCCATCCCCATATCTGCGTCTGCTCCTCCTGTCTCTCTCTCTCCTGTTTTGTGCTCCTCTGGGAACTCGGAACATTCTTGCCCAGTTCCCCCATCAGCCTCTTCTCTTGCTCCTTTTCTTCTCCTCTTTCGGTATCAAACGACAGCTAAGCATTTGCACGTTCCACACCAAAACACGGCTGTTGAGATTTCAGCCAGTGTGGCGCTCGTCATTCTCTCTAAAAAAGGCAAAGCTGTTGCAAATGTCAGTGCTTTCTCTTGATGTGGGAGGATTAGCAAGCTCTCTCCTGCTTTTGACCTTGTGTTTCTAGCCTGCCGTCATTTCAGTCGCCGCGCATTTCAGCGCCTGGTGAGTGAAGCAGCATCTTCACTGTCTCTGTGTTCCCTGCCCCCTCCTTCTCTCTCACCTGTGCGAAGTTGAGGAAGAAAAGCTGCTTGTGGTCAAGATCCAGGCCAGGAAGACGGGGCTCCTCCCCTTCTCTCTCCACCCACTTCAGGTATGCCTGCCGGGCAGATGGACACAGGTGATGGATGGGTAGACAGGGCAGACAATGGACACACAATACATTCAAAGATGGGGAAAACACGAAAAGCACTAGAATGATATAAGATTAAAATTAACCAGGGCCGATTTATGTTAGCACTAGAGCCATCATTATCGCTATTAGCCTTAGTGATGGCAATTAGAGAAATTACCTTATAGGCTTGCCGGACACCTCCATTGTCTGCGATGTTCTCTCCAAGTGTGCTGATCCCACTGACCTGCCAACACAAAATACGTTCTGTCACCGGCACACAGGCACAGGCACAGGCCCCCAAACGTGAGAGACACGCTGCCAATGCCTCTTGCTCTGACTCCGCCCTTGGTCTGTTTTTAACTTGCTGCCCCCTGGCAAAAAGATGCCCGAGGTGCTGGCACTGGCTGTGACGCTTGTGAAAGCTCCCAGTGTCCCACCTTCTCCCATTCTTAGCTTAAAGTTGGTTAAAAGAATACACAGCACATACATGCATCACCTCAGACTCGGCTTTCAGCTGGTTCTATGAGATGTGTCTGTTTTTAGGAAATAAATTGGGGAAAAAAATAGATGTATTTTTAAATTTCGGTACAGGACTAAAGAAAGCTATGCAGGTCAAAATGTCTTTGGCTTGACTGCAGACCTGTAGTAACCAGTAGTATAACTGTAGCCAGATTCGGTGTGTGTGAAGTTTTGTTTTTTTGTGAGGAGTACATTCATGAAGGGCAGACAGAAAGGAACTTTTGAGAGCTGTGAGTGAACACTACATCTCTGAGCTGCCTGCAGATGGCGCTCAAGATGCAGTGCTGAGTATGTTCATCAATCAGAGTGCCCAGAACAACACCCCAGGATTTCCCGTTAGTCCCCTGTTCAAGCCGCCTGACTCACATTCTGCCCGCCTGCCAGTTTCCAGGTGAAGTTTCCATACTGGTACACCATGCACTGGGACTGCTCCTTAAAGTGCATGGCCGAATAATTGCTCCACCAATCAAACATGTTCCCGTCCTTGTCGAAATTCCTCCCTGTTTTGGAAGAGACACAGCAGAAGGACAGCATCTCATTTTCTAATCAGGGAAGATGAATTATGTTCCAACCCTTAATTAAGGCGCCTCCTGTATTGACCGGTGTTGACCTCATCCTGGAGCTTGAAGTTCTTGTTCTATTGCAACCTGCCTGTTTATACAGTATGACAGGCAAGTTCTCATTTGGAGGGTGATGGAGGAGGAAAAGATTGGACAAGGGAGTATGTAGAGAAGAGTTTGTCGGATGTGGAGAGAAAAAACGCTGATATTTTCAGGGTAGAGATTCTCAACATGAGTGTGAATGTGCCTTAACGTCCAGGTACTCGCAAGGTACTCTCTTTCTCAGCCTTTAGTTCACTGTGAATGCCTGCTTTTTACTTTTTACTTTTTTACTATGTGTTTGCTATCTTGTGAGAGCTAATCACAGTACAACCTGGACTGCTTTACTGACTGGCTTATGCTGTGATCTGAACTTTAATTCAGTGGACTTTGATGTTTCCTATGGCTCCATGTCGGTCGTGCTCTGCTCGATGGCAGTGACGTTAGATGGACTACGCTGTCCGCTGGCCTCCTCTGCGCAGGCTGAGCGAACCGATTGGAAAGGGACGAGTGCAGAGGTCAGGAAGAGAGAAGCATCTGGAGAGATCAGGGGGCGATGCTGGGCGTGTTCGCGTGTGTGTGCGTGCGCGCTCACACATACCGTTGTCATCAAAGCCGTGCGTGATCTCGTGCCCGATCACCATGCCGATCCCACCGAAATTCAGAGCCTGGGGCTGCTGCTGGCTGAAGAAGGGGGGCTGTAGGATCCCGGCGGGGAAAACTGAGAGGGTAGAGGCAAAGGTTAGCAAACAAAAACAAGCTGAGTGAAGATGATGAAGGTTTCAGTAATGCAAATGGCCTTAATTGTCAATGTTCAGTGCATTTCACTTGTAGTCCTAAGTACTATCATATATTTCTGTCTGTCCAAGAGCAGATACGCAACTGTAGGGTTAGGGGAAAATGTCTTATGTCACAGGGATGTCTTATGTACATTTCTGGGCGCATTTTTTTTTTGTGGTTGTCATTTGAGACCTACCCCATCTGAAACCGCTAATTGTTTCTGTACATCTGGGCTCTTAGCAGTGACCCTGTGCTCCACAGGAAGACTAAGAGGGACAGACAAGACCATGCTGCAAACTCCCCAGTCCCTCACAGGCCAGTGGCCGCTTGTCCCTCACCAGGGGCACTGCAAGCCTGCAGGAGCTGCTGGCTGGCTCTTACCCTGGGGCCACACTGCCAATTGTGTTCATGCCTCACAGTCTTAAACAACTCACCCTGCATGTGGAACAAGTGCCTTTACAGGCTGAGCCACTCAGAGTCCCTTGTGAAAGTATCTTTTTTAAAGAAGACAACCAATCTGACAGCCGATTGCCAGGAAAGGAGGAAATTAATTGCGGTAAGAGAGGACAAAGTGAAGGAGAAATCAGAGAAGACTAAGGTAGGAGACTAAGAGAGACCCAAGGGGAGTAATGACTGAGGGGCTGACAGTCAGCTGGTGACAGTTGATGGGGGAAGTAGACCATGTTCTGTATGGGAATGAGAGTGTGCTAGGGTGAGAAGTCTGCACTAGGTACATTCCCTCCAAACTCTTCTCAAGTCACAAGTCGTAAAGTCACGTACAGAAGCACACCGAGGTTTCTGGCTGGCTTGTTACCGATGGTGTTTTGTCACATCCCCTGTCCAGAATGCTCACCTATCTGGTTTCTGTTGGGGGAGTAAAAGGCATTGACAACTGCTGCCCCAATAATCCACCTGCAAAAAGAATGGAAAACAGCTGAGCACAATTGAGAGCTCTTTCACTGGAAGGCTGCCCACTGCCCTTAATCTGTTATCTTCTCATGTGCTATGCCCAAAGGAAATTTTTTTTCATTCCTCCAAAAATGTTTTGATCTTTCCCTCTCCCAGCTGAACATTAATAAGCTGATCACCATCGACAGGAAAACATAGGTTTCTGGGAATGCATCCGCTTTTAATTTGCTGCACACTTAGTCCTTGTCTTACGAGCGTGTTATGTTCCAGAGACTTGTTCATACCTCAGGCTGTTCTGAAGTCGAAACATTTTGACTGAAAGTGCTCTTCATTTTCGCCGCAAAGGTTATTGCCTGTTGTTGTCACTCCTCCACTGCTCAGCCATTTTTACGAGTTATTAACACTCCAAATAAACCCCAGAATCACAAAGCAACAGTTAGATGTTCATATAAACAAACCCAAAGTACACTGAGTGACTCATTGTCTCCAATAGCCTTGAGCCATCCCGACACTAGTCAGTATCACTTTGCTGCTTGCTATTCTACTAGACAAAAATCATTTCTTATGGGAATCAGTGCATATACTTATGAACATCTCAATTGTTCATACCTCGAGGGCAGAGCATACTTTCTTATCAGTGCCGATACATTGCAGGACCCCTAATAATGTTAGGTTGTCTTTACGGCTCTGGTGGACTGCAGTCATTGCCAATGGAGACGTGATCTCTCTAGGTGGAGATAGATGGACTGGAACAATGCGGTCACGTCCCAGTAGACTGATCTGCCAAACTAGCTCAGCAGAGCTCAGCAATGTGCCACTTCCACATTGGCAGACACTGCATTGTGTTCTTTGAAAGAGATCCTGGTATTGCAGGGTGTCTGGCACCCTCACTTGGATAAACTTAGTACAATATTCTTCATAACTAACATCTAGGGGAACTGCATTAGAGAAGTAGCTCATATTTTCACATCATTTTATTCTCTGGGTTGTGTAATCTTTTTTTCACTAATGCTGTCTTCTGCTGTGCCTTTTCCTCTTTCTGCTTCAGCAGAAGTGAAGTCTTTAACAGCTGCACCAGTTAGCAGCAGATTTGCCTCAAACCAGCTCTGAAAAAAAGCTACAACCCGTCTCTTACCGCAGGAAGACACCCGTTGCTGGGTGTTACTCACAGGTCTGGGTCAACTCGCTCCCTGAGCTTCCTCAGGCTCTTCTGCGCCCCTGCGTGCAAGTTCTCCAGGATGTTCTCAAAGTAGTTCTCCTCGCTGAAGTTCAGCTGCAGGGAAGAGGGAGGGGCGTGGAGCCGCTGGGGTCACGGGGTCACGGCAGGAGCACGCGTCGCAGCACAGAACTAACACACAGCGTGTTCATTTGTGGCATCCCTTTAACCTTCCTGTTAGGGTTCGGGTAAAACTTTTTCCGTTTTGGAATCGGCCTTATATTCGTTAGGTGGAAATCGGCATTTCTACAAGCATGAGCTTGACGAGGGAGCTTCAAGAGCAGTGAACACTAAAAAAGCCCCCCCCCCCCACCTCCCCTGACCTTCTCCCCCTTCCTCACATGTGCGTATTCCTGATCCAGCTTGAGGTTTTTCTCCTCCAGGATGTGGTCAGGATAGCCGATCTGCTCCTTAATGGCCATGGCCTGCAAAACAGAGCAGCAGCTCGGTACCCAGACACCTCCTCAGATCACATTAAGAGCTGCATACGTTTATCACTAATCACCCCTCACGCACGGGTGACTTTTGTCCTACAATGAAACAGCACAACATTTCTGTTTTCATCTTTAGCTGCTGGTTGCTGTGGCCAGTGTACAGTCGTGGTGGTGGTGGTGGCAGCGTGCGGTGGACGACAGTGCATCTGACCCCTGACCTTGTCTCTAGCCTTCTGCTTGGATTGCTCGTCCATCCAGCGCAGCTCCTCCAGTGTCTCCACAAAGGCCTCCTGGATCTTACTGATCAGCTCCCTGACCTGATGGCAGGACACACACACACACACAAAGACACACAGCTGCTTCAAATAGCGACGCTGATGTGCTCCACCGCCAGGCCCACCGAGGCCCACAATGAGTCTGCATGGCAGAGTACATATGGTCAAAGAGTGATCTCGTTTATAATGTAACCTGTTGCAATTTAATGGGGGCCCTGAGAATATACACTAGAAATGCAGAAAGTTCAGTGGTCATTTTTATGGATCAGTTTACAGCGGATCACGTGGATATCGATAATCTGGCTTCTCACCATGCGTTTGCTCTCTCCGGCGAAGGTCTCCCTGACGTACAGAGCGCCCACGGCGTTCTCCATGTTGCTCTGCACGTAGCGCACACAGTCCCGCCAGCGCGCCTCCTCCACTGTGGTCCCGTACAGCGCCTGGCCACACAGACACAGACCCTGAGCGAGTGCGATCCTTGGTGGGCAAGGCAAGCACCACACGACTGGGCACAAGAAGTGATGCATTGATGAGTGCATTCTAAACCACAGGGAAAGTAAAATTCACACAGTAATTTGTAAAACCTCCAATTTATTAAATTTCCAGGTATGCGGAGCACCATATTCTGCGATTGAAGGCATGAATCCCTATGACATTGTAAACAAGCAGGCTTGTGAATACATCTCTTTTAATCCAGTAGAAATATTGCTCTCGACTTATAGATGGTTTTGCTACAAATACAACTTACTTGTTAACTCAGATCACGTGGCAGATCACGTTGCCACATTTCTGCGGAGAAATGTCTGTTGCACAACCTGTAGTTATTCGCTCGTACTGTACAGTACATCGCATTACATTAGTCATTACAGGGACTAGTGAGCAGGAAGGGCTGCTTCACGTCGCAATTCAAGTGAATTCTCACTCTCGTGACGAGCCCAGTGATTTGCATAAAGATGGAGACTATACATTACTTTGACAAAGATCACAATTTTGTGCTTATTTGGAATTTGTAAAATTTTGAGATAGCGGTCAATTAATTTATTTTGTCACTGAAATTGAATAACCGTTCTGTGAAATTGGGACTGCAGTTCCCCTCTAATTCACTGAAGTAGATTTGCCAACTGAAAATGCGTCATCATGCTAAGCTAAATGGATTAAAGGTCCTTGTTTAACTTAGTTGGCTGTGGTGTACACCTGAGCAGACAGGGTACAAAACGCCCTTCTCTGCCTCTGCTGGAGTGTGTGCTGTGCATGTTGTATCAAAGCCCATTCCCTGCTCCTTGCGTGCTGATTGGATGGGGGTCAGTCTTGCCTTCCTGTAGTGTGCTCTGGCGTCCTTAAAACGGCGACTCAGGCTGCTGACTCTCTCCATGACGAGCTGCCAGGTCAGGTAGTTCTGCAGTGTCCTGGTGGAGAGAGCAGACACAGGGAGAGGCCTCACAGAAACATGCTTGACTATTATTCACACGGTAGGTTAGAGGGGTGCAAAAACCTTCGGAATTTGTTTGACACTAACAAATGCTTTTGCTTTTAACATGCATCCATACACTTCCTTTAGTTTGAAAAGGATTTTGGGGGATTTTTGGTAAGCCTTTAAAGACCATCTGTAGACAGCAAGGACTGTTCAAAGAAATAAGGAAATCAAAGCAATTTTGTGGCTTGGCTGTTTGGGTTTAATTTAAAATAAGGATGGTGATAGTCTATAGGATTTCCTACTATGTTAAACAAGCCTGGAAAACAGCACACTTGCAGGTTAACTAACTGTATAGCTCTACAGTCCCAGTATAACATGCAGTGCCCTGTTTTCTGGTGAAGCTCACTGCAGGTAACTTGCTATTTATGTTTGGAGAGCAGTACAACTCATTCCGACACAAACATTCATGTTCGCGTGGGCTTGCAATCCGCTCTTGAGCCCAGCTCAACAGATTCATCTTAATTTCTGGCCCTTCCTTCCTCTCACCTGGTGGAGTGTTTGGCGAGGACATCTTTTAGTTTCTGTAAGTAGGGGGCGCCATAGACCACCACCTCCTCCTGGGGTTGCACCTCAATATTGACACTGGACAGCACCCCCTGCACGAACCTTGTCCAGTTAAAGCCCTGCACAGCAGACCACAGAGAAAGAAACTGTAAGGATCTGAGAACGAAGCCCTGTGGCCTTTCCGAAGGAGCCAGATGCAATATTGTTTATATTTATATTGTGTAATATGTTAGCTAGTTTTTGTAAGTATATCTACCACTTAAAATAACAGTCTCAACACTGCTGGTTTTAGCAGTATGTGATACACTATAAACCAAAGTATTCAAGTACATTAAATTCTGTCGCAATCAAACATGAACTCCATTAAATTTCTTGTTTGTCAAAGTATTTTTTTCCTGTCAAGTGTAACACGAGTACTAAAAAAACATATTAGTAGTAGCAGTGGACTGTGAGCTCTGTTTTGTTGTTAGAAAATATCTAGGAGGGCACTACACACTACGATTCCCAGTTCAAGCAGGTGCTCCTAATTCTGACACAATTGGCAATGGTTTCAAAAAATATATTCATTATGATAATTGAGTCAGATCGAATTTCCAGCCCGGACATCCTCTTTCACTGTTGCTTTCTATCTCTGTTTCAGGTTCAAAGGTGGACCACAATGCCCACCATATGCTGGAGGCAAACTCACATTCAGACCGAACTGCTCCTGCACCTCCCTCAGCGCCATCTTGTGGTAGAGCAGGGTAACATCGTGCCGCTCCTCTACAGGGGAGGTGGCCTGTGGGCACAGAGAGGGCAGTCGACACCGCACATCACTACCAATAGCATCAGAATTTTGTCTGCAGGCCTCACCTTGGCTATATTAAGAGCTTTCAGCACAAGAAACAGCTCCAGCGTGGTAAAAAGGGACTTGTGAAAGTCTACAATGGTTTGCTTGCTCCTGAAGGATTGAAAGTTCAGTTTGATCACTTTATTTCAGTTTTTTTTTCTAGACGAATTGTTAAAAGACTTAGACGTGTAGTTTAAAACATAAAAAGTAAAGTAACAAATGAGATGAGGCCATTCCATCCATCTAACTCCTTTTGATTGCTTGTAGTTAAATGAGGCAAGGATCTTATCCAGGTGTGTCTTAAAGAAGCCAGGATATTCATGGCTGGGTAGCTTGATCCAGATATAAACATGTTTTATAAAACTATTCCAGAATCAAAAAGGTAAGGACTAAATGAGATCATGAATGTGTTTATGCCCTCTTATTGGATGGTAGCAGTAAGAATCAGTCACTCGAGTGACAGAATGAGCAATGTTGTGGGCTGGCCAGCGCTGAACTGGGCGTGTCGCGGCTCGAGATAGCTTTCCCGCCCTGGGCGTCGAGGGCGCGGACTCACGTTGGCGATGTCCGTCTCCAGCTCCATCACGCCCCTCATTTCCTCCCAGACCTGCTCCTCGTCCCGCGTCAGGTTCCTGTCCTCCCGGGCCATGCGCGCGATCGACACCATGAACTCCAGGTAGGCCTCCCGCACCTGCCGAAGAAGAGCGCACGCTCAGGTGGGCCTGGCGCTGCTGCTCACCGCTCCTCTTCCTCGCCCGCCCGGAAGAGCAACACTGGCGCCACCCTTTGCAAGACTGTCGCACAAACCAGGCTTTTCATTCTTGACTTGTTGACACTGCTAACGAGCTGGTTAACACAAGAGATTTTGATGGGACAGACTTAGAATTCAGGCAGTGGGGAGTCTCCATCTCCATCATTGACAGCAGAGAACAGTCAATCCTTGGTTTAATGGGCTAACAGAGAGGTTAGTCAAAGTCTGTTATTGCGGAGTACCCATTATAACATTAATTATGTTTTTTTTTCCCACCCATAAACACACTGTTATATGATACATCTACATATACAATATCCTGTATATCCTTTATGGATCTTATGACATTTTAGCAATTGCAATCAACACAGTCAAAGTGTTCTTGTGTTTTACCTTTTCATCATATATGCACAGGCTCTTTATTGTATGTGTAGTAAATACTGTACTGTATAAAACTTAAAGCACATGAAACGCACCAAACCATGAGCTCTTGTGTTTACTTTACTCTTTTTTCAGGTCATGATTCACGTGATCCAGTGATCTGTATAGTGCCAGGGGAAAAAAAACAACACTTAATGTTGAATTTGGGCAGTCTGAGGCGCAGAACCAGGTTAATGTACTCCCAGATCATGAATGCGTGACGTACAGCAATGGGTATAAAAGCACGAAATCCCCAGAAATGTTAATATGGGACAGAATGTGGTACACTCGAGGAACATTATGTAGGTCAGAAAGAGTTGTTTATGAAGATTGTTTTTAAAAATTTTCCATTGCAGCTTACAAGATAAACTAAAAAAGATTCCCTGTTATTGTCTCGAGAGGAAATTACCCGTTTGTAGTTCCCATCATTGAAGTAGTAGTCCCGGGATGGCATTCCTAATCCAGGCTGGTCGATCTGGGAATACAGGAGAAAAACATAGTTAGGCTTCTTCTTCAGAGAACCTGTAATGCATACTCGGTTCAAAAGTAATACGTTTAGTTTAGTATTCTGATGTGAAAAAAGAACTTGGTGGTCAAACTTTTAGAAAAAATATGAATAATGTTCTGTCCAATGATTTTTTTCATCCTTCTGGTTAGGGGTATTGAAAATCTGCACCCCGCTACTACACTCCCTATGTCAGCACAGGTGGACTCTGTGATGGATGTGTGCTTGGAAGTCAACGATCTAGTCTGGGCCTGTTTTCTGAGAAGTAAAAGGAAGATGTCCTCCGTCTTTCCTAACCCTTGGAATCAGGTACACCTTCTATATCTTTTTGGAGCTTCAGGTCATTTTCTGAAATTTGTTGGCTGCTTCGACTTACTTCTTGTACAGCTCTGTATGTGGTCTGCCCACCTGTGATGTGAGTGCCTGTGATGGGCTCAGAGATGGAAATATGAAAATTCGTGGAACATTCGTTCATGCACTGAAAAACATCTTTCTGGACTGGCTGCCTGACGGTAACCCGGTTGGGACAGTGTCAGGTGGCCAAGCTGAAAGGGTCGTCCTTACATAGATTATGTGACGACTGGAGTCGCGGTCATCCGTCCACACAAACAGGTCCACCAGCACCTTCTTATGGAAGTGGGAGTTGAGGGTGGCCAGGATATCCTCCAAACTCCACTTGTCCTCTGTGAGGGTGGACAGAGAGATTGATACACCGGTACCCAATATAGATACACTGATGCCTGACGATGCTAATATTGCAGAATCAGTCTGGGATCCTGCATTACATGACAGGACAAGATCCTTGGTCAAAAACCTTCTGGCAACTGAAAGGAGTCCTCTCATATATATATATATGCCATAATAATATAATAATTATAATATATAATATATATGGCAATAATAGCCATATATATAACGGTATAACCGTTCTCTTGTTCCCTTCTCTTCCACACCAGCACAAAAATGCATTTAGCACACACATCTTGCACAATCAAGATGGGACATCTGTATTAAATTCATAAACAGTGTGTACTATGCTGGTAATTACAGTATATCTCTAAAATGAAGGGTACATGCCAACTGACATTCAGGAGCAGAGGATGCAGAATTTGGCAATCAAGAGCTAACTAGATAACTAGCACCATTCGACCTGGACAGAAGAACTCCCTCCTTCCCCAAGAGTGTTCGGTCAACCAAGGCTCATTTAACTGGGTGAAGGCGATGAGTTGCTGTAAATTGTGATAATGATGTACAAGCTGCAAATCAATCACCCCGCTTAATTTGTCCTTGAACGTCGTTGAAAAATATTGACCAGATGCTTAGAGTGTCAGTCTGTAGAGCTTTTACTGATTAGATTCAGACACTGGATTTTCTTTTATTTTCTGCTGTGGGCAAACTGCCCACTCCGAAAGAAATGAATTAGACTGGGCATGTTGCCCACTACAGTAAATCAAGTCCCCTGTGTGTGCTCCTCTTCCAGAAAACCACATGTTTTTAAATTGTGTCTACCTATCATGCTATCCCAGTCCTCTGATGCAACAGGCCATCCTCCAATGACATCAATGAGCTTCATCAGGGGCTGGGAGTCTCTCTTCTCTATTAGACCTGCAGGGGACAGCACAGGAAAGCCATCAGCCAAATCCACGTTCTCCAATTGTCAGCAGTGCAAAGAAACTGGTAAGCTGTAAGTATGCCAGTGTATTTGTTTCCATGCATTGGGCTGCCACTATGCAGAGACTCACTTTCGTTCATGCAGGAGATGTACAGAGTCTTGGCTTTCTGGAAGGCCTCCCTGTCCTGTTCATTTGCAGTCTCCAGAACACCTGTCAGGGAGAAACAAACCAAACGAGAATCATTGGATTGTATAAGCAATGCTGCCTCCTCATATAACTTCACAGACAGATAATGTATCGCAGGCACATCAAATTCTTAACCTACTTAATCCACAAAATAAGAAAAAAGGGAAGGTTGGTTTTCCTTTCCTGTGTGCAGTGATGAAGAAGACACAAATCGAAACTCTCCTCGGTGCTCACCCTTCAGGATGATCTCTAGCTCATCTCTCAGGATGTCAAAGACACTGTAGCGGGAGCTGGTCTCTGGGATGACATGTCGCTCAAGCCAGCCCCCACAGGCATACTGGTAAAAGTTCTGGCATGGCTCCACCCGGGGGTCCATGTTCTGGATGAGCCGGGCCGCTGAAACAGAGAGAAGAAGGGGAGGGTGAGAGAGATACAGGGGTGAATAAGCCCCTTGACACATCAGTTGCCCCATTTCTGTTGACTTACTCTCAGGTTACGCTGTCTTTGAAAAGTGACACAGTGACCAAGCAGAGACTTAGGCTGAAATAATTAGATGTGCAGCTCTCCCCAAAACAGAAATGACTGTAGGGCAGGTATAGGCCGTAGTGCAGGTATTGGCAGTTTATGGCAAAGGCCGTAAAATACCCAGCTGCAATTACAGGAAAGTGGGCAACATGGTGGTACAATGATTGTGCCTTGTAATACTGGGGCCCTGTGTTCAATTCCTGGGGTGCTATGTGTGTGGTGCTTCTATGTTGCCCCCATTTTTGCGTGGGATTCCTATGGGGCTCCAGTTTCCTCCCACAGTCAGAAAACATTCGGGTAGGTTATTTGACTTCTGGGAAAATTGGTCCTGTTGTGCCTGCCCTGTGAAGGACTGGCATCCCATCTAGGGAGGAAGTACAGAGAAGCAGTGGGAACACGCCAGAGGAGAAAAGGGCACTGTTTGGGCTGGTCAGGCAATTCAGAAAAGAAGGAAGAATGGAACAACAGTCAGGACTGTGGTTTTCTAAGGGTGGTCGTGTAGACATTTCTTCCCAGTAACAGAAACCAACAGAGACGCAAAACACTTTGCAGGAACACTGAAGAGGATCTCTGTAAGTAGAATGTTTTTATTTCTACCCATCTGTCTGCATGAAGTATATCTGTGCATACCTGGAGGCCAGGTGATTAGACTACAAAGGCTGAGCTCTTCTATTGGTGAGACGGGCACCTACCTGCAGTGACACAGCCTGGCGTGGTGCACACATTGTTGACACTGGCTCGGTAGGCGGGCTCTGAAGGGACAAAAACATGCACAATCTTGAAGAGACACATACCACACCGTTCTAAAGGGGCAGAAAATGCACAGTTCTGAAGAGGCAAAAACCACATGATTCCAAAGAGTAAGAAAAACTCACAATTATAGTAACAGTCGTCTGTGTCCCTGCTTCTCATTTAGAGTTCCTCTGGAATGTTGTTGCTCCCCTTTTGGGATTGCAACAATTTGCTGTTTATAAGATGAACAGATTTGCGAAACATTAGTACATGTGATTGTTCCTTGCGTGAGGACATGGTTGATCATTCTCATCTGACAGCCTGTATTTATAAACAAGAGTCAAAGCAAATCGCGGTGCTTTACTGGTATTGCGATTCTTCTGTGACCAAACTGAGTGTTCTCCCTCAAGCTTGTGCCAGTCAGCACAGTCACAGTCACAGATGACCGGCGAAACACACACAGCCTGCAGTTGTCACTTAAAACGGATCGGATGGCTTTGACCAAAAGGAAAAGATTTCAAGGCCTGAAAATCTTGCTTTCATTTGGCAAACTAGTGTAACCTAATTGAAAACACAGCCGGAGATATTAGAAACTAGCCTAGGGTGCTAACTCAGTCAGAACTGCCTCTAAATCACAGGCAGCCATGATCCTTTTTTGCACTGTGTTGAGAAAGACTTACTTTATGTGCACTTAGTTTGAATTGGTTGTGTCAGCTCCGTGTCAGGGCTTTGCAGTACAGTTGATAGTTGTGGTGATGATGAAGCAGCAGTTGAAATCAGGAATTTGAAAGAAATGGAGCTGACCCAGGTTGGCACAGTGGTAAGCAGTACTGCCTAGGGCAGTATTACAGCACTAGGGTCCTGGGTTCAATTACTCGACCGGCAGTGCTGTGTGTGTTTGCTTGGATAGCCTCCAGGTGCTCCGGTGTCTTCCCACAGTCCAAAGACAGACTGGTAGGTTCATTGGCTTCTGGGAAAATTGGCCCTGGTGGGAGCGTGTGCTGTTCAGCTCCCAGCCCTTGGTCTCCACGGCAACGGACTGCGTCCGCACTTGGAGTAAAACGCCTGGTGCCCTGAAAACTCATTCGGAGCAGCTGCTCATGCCATCTGCCCCCACTTAACAGGTAATTAAGGTAATAATTATCTTATCAGCTCCAGGTTACTGCTCCGCCCATGGTTCGGTGCTCTGTCATTGAGTTTCCTACTGGGTAGGGAAGTGCTCTTAGCACGAACCAGCCTGTCAGCATCAGAGGTATCCAACCAATTCAGGCTATCGACTCAATCCCGAGATCACAGCCACCAGATCCCAGGTCTGTCCCCTTTTCACTATGCCCTCACAGCAACCAACCAGTCCTGGGTCTCCAGTCCCCTCTGCTCAGCTGCACTGTGTCGTCCCTGTTCTCTTCTGCAGGGCACGGTCCCTGTGTCGTCCGCCTTCTGTCTGTCTGTCTGTTTGCTCAGCCCCTCCCCCAGATCTCGCCTCCGTGTAGCAAGCTTGTAGACTCCTCAGCTTGCCCTACAGCCGTGAGTCTTTTCAGCTCAGCGCCGGGGCGTAACGTGTGTGTGGCTGTGTGCCTTGTGATGGACTGGCATCCTTCCCAGGGGTGTATCCTGCCCTGTGCCCATTGCTTGCCTAGATAGGCTTCGACTCCCCCGGGACCCTGGACTGGATGAAGTGGTTAGAAAATGGATTGATGGAGCTGACCCATGATCAGCAGCAGAGTGGCCACACCCAGCCTGCCCGGGGGACTAACTAATCTTCTCTCATTTAGCTTCTGGTGGGTCTTCTTTCCTGTGAAACACGTTTTGGTTTCTCAATGGAATGTTTGTGGAGATCACTTTGCTACGCCCCCCAAAAAGCCACCCCGAAAAGCAGTAGTTTCTTTTTTAAATGTGATCTGTCTGAATGGGGCAGAAGGGAGAGGTGAGCTCTTACTCAAGGCAGGGAATACTCCCAACAACCCGAATCCAAAAAATCACGAAAAAAAATCCCTGTCGATCATTTCGCTGTCAGGCTAAATAAATATGTACATTTTCTTGCTTTAATTACGGTCAGAAAAAGCTGGGATAAAAAGCATAACAAACAATGCTGTCTGTTATCTTTTCTTTCGAGTCTTACGGTAACTTCCCATAATATGGAGCACGAAACGGGTGGAGTTCGTTTCAGCGATAAGGAGTGAGCGAACGAGACAGTGGTCGGAGGTGAAGCAGTGTGTGTTTGGGCTGGGAAAATATTATTTAATCATCTCTAATTTAGAAATACTGATGGACCTGTAGCTGTCGCCCCACAGGCTGACCGATTCCACAACTTTTGTTTACCCTTTCAGTGCAAAATGTGCCCCCATATTGTACAGCAAACAATGGAAACACGTTAAGACACAAAATAACAAAATACACCTTTCCTGTGAGAAGCAGGAAACCAATGGCTTACTCGAATAGTTAGTTTAATAATAATAGCCTTTTCCCTATAAAGAAAACGGAAAGTTATATTTGGAAAGGACAGCGAGTGTTGAATAGTCTCACATAATTTTTCCATTCCCCTAAAACGCGCCTAAGAAAAGTGTTCTGACTTCAAACTCTTATTAGAGGTGTTAAAAATAATGTGACGGTGAAACAAACCAGAAACCCCCTTACAAAATGTCTTTCACTAAGAAACAGCCCCCCTGCCGGTTGAAACGGCCTGTCATCGGCTGTTAATTTCACGTCTGACCGCTTGACAATTTAACAAACCTCCTTCCAGCGGCCAGGGGCGCACTGAGGCGCGCCGCGGGACGGGATTAGGCGCTCGGCGGGGATTGCGGTGAGAATCGGCTGTTAAACCTCGCCATTCTCCCGCACTCACTCTCCCACTCTCCTCCCCTGCCGAGCCAGAGCATAGGTGGAGAAATGAGCAATTTTGTCCAATAGGATTTACGAATGAACCTTTTAACAGCAGGACTTAAAACACGGGAATAAATGATCCTAGCTGCTTACTTTTAACAGCCTCTGACATCCCAGTCTTGCTGCATCTTTTTCACTTCGGTTTCCCCCCAAATTAAAACTGCAGATCCCTACTCTTTGATCTAAACTGAATCCTTCTGAACAACTCCAAGATCCGGACCTCGACTTTCCACGGAAAACCTGACCGCACCTGGCCAGCGTCCAATCGTTTGTCCGTGTAATCATTTTTAATTGCGTGTGCCGCACACAAATCCTGACTTTGATAGAACTAAACAGAGTGTAAAGACGAAATACAAAATGAACCTGGAACGACATCAACCAACGTAGATCAAGTCGTGGGCTATCCGCAAGACCTAATTTGATTCACCGTAGCATTTTATTTTTAAAAGTTATCATTTTTCTGGGTTTGGAATCTCGCTGTTCCTGCAATTTCTTTTTTTCCCCTAGTAGGCAGAGGTAGAAGAGTTGGCTACGAAGAGAATGCATAATACAAGGAATACTACAAGTCACTTCACACAGATCCTAGCAGGATTCTTGGTGGCCCTTAACTATAGGGACCGTCATATACCAATGAAGTCTTTGAATTCAGTTGAATTGCTGGGTGCGTATATTTTGACAACCGAACGCCGACATAACCCAGGAACGAAAATTTGGTTAACTTCTCCAAAGCTAACACCCCCTTAACTCCAATCCCAGCTCCTTCGAGTACAGAATATTTAACACCGAGCAGATAAGCACCCAAGAGGATACCCGCCATCGGTAGTATCCACTCCAGATTGCGTCAATTCACTTCTACGGTCACGGCTGTGAACGGTTTGTGTGCAGAGTGGTAACAAAAAAAGATAAAAAAAAAGATTATCTTTGATAGGAGGTCGGGAGAAACAGCAAGTCTTTCCAGGAAAAGGAATTCGGTCGCCTGTCGTAGCCATATGCCAAGCTGCCACTTTCTTGTTTTTTTACACTACGTCTCGTCTACAGCTGTATGAAGGCATAATCTTGTGAGCATGAATAGATAATGTATCTATGCTAGTTAAAACCGCTTGCTCTTTGGGACAGTCAGTTGAACAATTGATACAAGAAATTTGGGGAAAAAAATGAGCTTAGAAAAAACATAGTCTTGATGTATCTAAGCTTTTTCCGTAACTTGGCAGTCAGGATGCGTGGGTGCGCAAGAAGAGTCGCTCATTTATCGTTTGTGCCGAGTGCTGGTGGATCAGTGCTGTGCGGTTAACAGCGACCTCAGGGGTGAGAGAGGTGAGCGCTTTACCCAGGGACTCGTGTCCCACTACTTTTCAGCTTTCAGCGAAGTCAGTGAAGCCAGACTCACAATTTAGAGGACTAGAGGTTATTTTACACATACAAAAAGGGAGGCGTTTCTGTGCGAAACGGTTTTTGCTTTATCTAAAAAACGCGTCTGCAATCTGGACTACCAACAGCAACAATTGTGATTGCTTTAAATTCTTTTCCGTTCTTTTTCCATCATTAGAAAACTAATGATCCTTTTCTAACGTTCAGCGAAGCTCTTATCTGTGCAAAGTCACTCTATATTGGTTGAAAAAGGCCCTACAGATGCATCTTTGGTATCACAGATTTCGGATTCTAAAAAATGTTATTCAAAATACAAGTCATAAAAAATGTCCACAGCTTGCTTACCAATAGCTCCCTGCGTGTCTCTACTTTTTTTGTGTGGAAAAATACCTTGTGTTTTAGATGACTATATTGAATTCTGAATTAAAATGTAAAAATGCATTCCAACAATGTCATGTTGCATTATAACCGTCAAACATGTTGTCAGTCGCTGCGCCCGCTCCTTGACTTATTTATGATGTAGCTATGGGAGAAATAAACTTTTCTAATTCCGGTGTAAATAACTGCAGACTAGGCCTCGGCGGGTATAAAGGTTATATGCGTAATTCTGTGTAAATGAGTGTTTTTACAGAGGGTCAAACACCTGCATTCATCCTGCATATAGCCCACCTTGAAATCTGCAACATTGGAAAATAACCTTATACTACTTTTACTGTAAAAATAATAGTCTTTTTCTTTTTATCTGTAATGAACGTTGACAGCTCCCGGCAGCTGTTCCTTTGAAAATAATGAATTATTTAAGTGGTAGAACATAACGTTTTCATATATTATATTCAGATCTATATACAGTATGTTAACAGATCTCTGCGTCCACTAATATTCTGCAGTAAAACCAAAAGGAAACCTCCATTCGAAACCATCAACCGAGACATACGATTTCTTAATTCGTCGATATCAATATTAGCCTAAATGCTTCTTCGCTGGATATTGGCTAAACTCCGATCTTAGAAACTTTAAGGCAAGCTGTTAGGCTACGAAAAAAACGTAAAAAAAACTATTTTTGTTGTCAACAATGAGAATAAGTGGTTATATAGCTAAACGAAATAATTTAAAATATTCTAACTTCAGTAATAATTATTTATAATATGAACAGTTCGGCTGGTAGTCTACTCCAGCCATTATTTCCCTTATCCCAGCCTAACGCAGAGCAGTAGGATTCGCGTCTTCTTGAACTGACCTCCGAGAGAGGGGTTTTTAGGGGTGCGCGGGCAAGAGGGTGGGGTGCCCCCCAAAACTTACCTTTCATGGCCGAGGTGTAGAGCACCGCCAGGCCGGCCAGCGCGCAACTGACCAGCAACAGCAGCACCGTCAGTCCGATCTCCGCCACGCTCCAGCGCCGCTTGCCCGCTTTGCTCGATTTTTCTACAATGTCCATCTGGCTTTCCGATTTACCCATTATTGTCACTCTAAGAAAAAAAAAAGAAGAGAAGAATCGTTGGGGGTGAAGGACGGAGCGAGTGTGTGTGTGTGTGAGAGAGTTTTTCAAGTCGGAAAGGAGAGCGAGAGAATACCGCACAGGTAAGACGAACTAGCCGGCGTGCTGGTTTTCGCGAGGTAAACAGCTGGTTTTAAGAAGCACAGCAACGCGCAGACGCTGGTAAAGGGATCTTATTAGCATAACTAAATAGCTCAAACCAGTCTGAGAAGAGAAACAGGCAAGCAACTGCGAAGGAGACACACCGACAACTTAATTGATTTTAAAGACAGGGCTGAAAAAATGATTACACATATTTATCTGCTTGCTCCACTCCCGTGGGCGTGTTAGCAGTCGGCTCCTCTGTCATCTCCGGCGAGGGGCACTTGTGGCTGCAGTGTCACCTAGTTTGTCCCACTGAGCGCGGCGTGACAGGAGTGCGTGTCTGGGCTGGGCGCCGGGCAGCGGTGGGGTGCTCGGCTCCTCAAACACATCGCCACGGGATCCGTACCTCCGGGGCTTACCCCCTGCCAACGGGTTGCCTCCCAATTGCTAAAGTGCGTCCCCCTCCACCATTTCCATTCAACTCAATAAATGCATTGGGAATAAATAAGAGGTCAGAGCAAGGCTCCCTGGTCCCCTGATCGGTGATGAGATATCAAGGCGCAACGAGAGCTCTCCTCGCCTCTCTCTTACGGCAGCTTGTCCTGTTCTATCGTGCGCAAAACGCAAAATGCAGGGCGATCTCATTCGCACTTAACTTCAGTTCCTTACACAGAACGACTGCTGCGTACTACAGCCCCTTCCCACCGAAAAACAGTATCCGCGTTTCATGGCAATTCGGGGAAACCGCGTGAATTAAGGGGGGGAACAGGGATGAGACCAAAGTTCAGCTCTGCGAAGGCTTTGGGGATGATCACATTCGTTGCCTTCAAGTCTGAATTCCATAGGCGAAACAAGACCCCGTTGACTACGTAGAAAAAAAAACACACACACCCCGAAACCACCCCAAGCTTTGCCGATTTGACAGGCTGCCGGCAGGAACTTAAGACCGGCTCTAATCGCGGCGCAACGCGGATCCGAGGCTCTCGGGACGGCTGAGCAGATGCTGCGGTTGCTACCTGGATAAGCCACGCGCGCCGTAGTCACAGCAACACCGCTGCTTTCACGCGCGGTGTGGGCGAGGACTGCAGATGTACAGGGGTAGATGCAGACTGCCCGTGCGCTTTTCCGTGTTAACAATAGTTTGGCGTTCAGTTCTTACCTCTGCCGCTCGTTGTTCCAGGCTTAAGGTATGTTCAATCAGCGAGAGGAGGGCAGGCTGCCAAGTTCACGGTATTTCCCCGGTCTGCGTGTTTTTTAGAAATCGCTGGAAATAGGCTACAAAACCCCTTCAGATCTGTAATTGGCAACATGGGATTGCGTGCCGCCTTCTTAGTTTTTAATATGCATGTAAAGTAGAAAAGGCTTCTTTTGGCAGCGTGGAATGTAGAATCGTCTATCTAAATGTCAAGATCATTAACCGACGGTCACTTTTTTGCGCAGGTCAATCAGAATGTTGTTATAATAAAGGAGATTTGATCATGTTCCGTTTAATATTTTATGAAATACCGGTATTCTTTATATAGGGTAAACGAATGGTAACTACATACCCCGTCGTCTTAAAATGCCACTGCAAGGAGGAATAAGATAGAATAATTGCTATTATGTAATAAGATTGCATTTTCCGTTTTATTCCGAATATTAATGATAAGGTGAGGGCTGGAGGATTTCACATCTCAGTGATTTGTTTTCAACTTTTCAGCAGTTTTTAACTGTTCGCAGTGGGGGGGTGAGTTTTGGAAAACAGGTTTTTTTTTTAGAATTTCCTGCGCAGTCACGTGCTGGAACCGTGGAAGTTTAAAACATGAAGCCTTCCTTTATTTTACCAAAACAATCTGCAGTTTGTTTAATTACTATATTTGAATATAAGCAACTGCCGATAACGGTGCATTAATACACCACAGTTAGATGCCAGGAGAAACTGCAGGAGACAGACAATCCAGCAGTTCGATCGCCCAGCTGCGTTAATTCCTGCGTCCCAGCCTGCCCACAGCTCGACTGTAGCCTTGCGGGAGTCCAATCTACCGGCAGGGAATCCGCATCGCCTTCTCATCCTGTTGCTTTGTGCAGGGCCGGATTTCCCATTAGCCACTGCAGGCACGGTGCCTAGGGCCTACGAAATTTTGGGGGCCTACGAAGGAGGGAAACAGGAGTGACTAACGGAAACCTAGCTGAAACGGCATGCTTGCGATCGACTGTCGGTGCTCCAAATCAATAATTTGATTCCTATTCATGCGCCCTATCTAGCGGCTGTTCTAGAAACCAGAAGTATCGAAGTGATGGCCGCTGGACTCGCTCCATCAATCACGTGGTTTAGCATTAGAATCGTTTAAAGTGCATCATGTCAATTGATGTCATTCAGTGAAAGTGCCTATAGGGCCTACAAACACCAAAATCCGGCTCTGACTGTGTGCTCTCCCCTGTTTAACAGATGGAATAGCCCCCATTATTCCTGCCCTGTGCTGGTGGTTAGTAGGCTCACAGCTCTTGGGTTCTGGTCTAGGGTGCCTTCTGTGTGGAGTTTGTATGTTCTGCTCCTGTTCGCGTGGGTTTTCTCGGGGCGCGCAGGTTTCCTCTCACCCCTCGAAATGCTGGCTGGACCTCTGAACTCTGACCTCTGTGTTTGTGTCCTGAAATGGGGCTGGCGTCTTGCCGGTCTGCTTGTAGCCCCAGCTCGTGCCCTCGGCTTCAGAGACAGGGGCCGGCTTCAGAAACGAGGGATGTGCCTGCGTTAAACTGGACCACACTGGACACTGAGTGTGGTTTAGGAGTAAGAACAATCTATCAATCTGGTGCAAGAATGAGAGAATACAGGACTGAAGTAGATAAGGATAGAAATAAGACTAGCCCTTCCTCTACTTTCTAACAGTTTTAGCCAATACAGGCATGGGTCACATGGGAGTCTGAGCCTGTCCCAGCAAGCAGAGAAGGCAAGGCAGGGTATTTCCTGGGCCAGTCCATCACAGGACACAAACAGACACGACACACCCACACCAGGGAAGCCAAAATGTGAACAGTTTGTCAAAATATTTTTTAACTGAATATCCAAAATATCCAGCCATTCCATTATCAGTAAGGAGCTTTGATCAACATATTAAAAATGTCTCTAAAGCGTCTTTTGACATCTGAGAAAGCCTGTGAAAATCCAACACATGTTTTCCGTGCCTGAAACTGTGAGAGATTAATGCACGCTTAAGATCATGGCTTGAGTATTGTGCTGCTCTTTCCCCTGATACCTCTCATTGTACTGTTTCAAGACAAATACTGATGCGCCAGACGGCTGCCCGAACTTTAACAAGACACAAGAAATCTGAATCTAAGAGCAATGCTCCTGCCACAGGCTTCTTCCCTCAGCCCCTGGACTTGCACGGGTTAATGCCCTGTTAATCTGAGCCCATATGTCCCCAGTCCGTCTCGCAGAACACCAGCCTGCTCAGCGTCCCACAGGTGCAGAGGAAAGACACAGGTGACAGGGGTGGACAGACCCTCAGTTTTAAGCCCCTAGACTGTGGAATGATGCCACCCTCTTGTGAAAGGAATCTTTATGAATTTTTAAAGGAAGATTAAAATCACCTCTTTACAGTTCTGCTTTTAGAAAACTGTGAGTATATCTCTTATAAATGAGCAGTCTTGTATTGTACACTGTTAGCAATAGGCGCTGCTCTTGCTTATGTATAGTTTTGATTTGCACAATTATCTTATGGGAATGGTGTCATTGTTTTTTACTTTTTCTAATTTGACTTCATTTTTGCACCACCCTTGTTTTCTGTTCTCACCTTTGTGCAGTTCGGCAAGGCCATCATTTGTGACAAGAGCTCAACATAACAATGAAGACAGATAGATATAAACGGCAGGGATATGGTGTGCCTTTGAAGTGTAGGGTGCAAGATGGGACAGAGGGCTCGTTCACTGCCACCCCATCTCTGGACAGGACACCAGTCTGTCACAGGGCCACGGAGAAATGCCCAGCTCAGATTAGCCAATGTAGCCTAGTCAGCACAAACCAGTGTCCACAACACAAGAAGAACATGCAAACTCCCCACAGACTAGCACCTGACAGTGAATCAAACCAGCAGTGCCAACCACTGCTCCACCCACTTCCTTATCCCTATTATATTAGACGAGATATTTGAAATAGATATATAATAGCTTTTGAAGAGAAGTAGGAAATACAGTAGGTTTCAGCCTACACACACATTCACACAAGTGTATTAACTTCGATATAATAAAAATACGGATGCTGCAGTCTGCTTCCACAGTCCAAAGACGTACTGGTTTGGAAGAATTGGAAGAAGCGGATAAAAAATGGGTAGATAGATCCGTTCAACATCTCAGTGTCAGGGAGAGGTACGATCGGCACTTTCAAGCACTGCTGACTGCTTCAACCTTTAAATTATATGCATGCATAAAACATTCGTAAGTAGTATGCCTGATATATTTTTATAATACCAAAAACGCAAATAACCAGTTATAGCGCCTCATAATAAAAACAAACAATAGTAAATTCATTCGACAGGAAATATAAACGTTTTTCGCGTGACGCAAAAGGTACAAAATCGAGTTTGAACAGGATGTAGTGACCCATTGACTATACAACAGTGATCCCCCCCGTACAGTGACCACTACAATGAAAGCCTTCCAATCAGTAACAATATATACTGTTTCTAACTGGATACGTGACTTCTACGGGTGCTATTATAATGTCCCAAATTCATATAAAGTTGCTATAACACAGTGTCACCGGTAGAGGGAGGTGCTCCCAGTTTTAAATGCCAATGTGAAGGTGTTGATTACTGAAGCTTGAGTGCCATAAACGGAAGAATGTATGTCGTGCACTCACGTTTATGATCATTAGTAAATAATCTAGTGCTTTAAAACTCATACATCTAAAGGTAATTAATGCAACTGGTATAAGATTGACACAGAGATCAATGTTCATAGGATAACTGTTATATACTCTCCCAGAAACAATATTTCTAATAAAGAAGCTGATACATTTAAAACAAAATACCCTTTTTTCAGTTTAGATTCCTTTAAGACTGAAAAGAGAAGGAAGAAATGGGAATGCTGATTTTCATATTAGTGTTGAAAAATATGCATATGCTCATCTCGCCTGTCGAGTTTTTAGTACCTAGCTGATCGTAGTTTGTATAATCATTTATTCAAAGAAACCAGTTTGCATCATACTTCCACATCCCTTTGTGTAAAGTGACTTCTATTCTCACTCAGTTTTGCTGTTTCTCTGCCTAGCAGTTTCCACTTATGCCTTGGGGTTTATATTTTACTCTCAGTTCTGAAGAATGTCATTGGCTTTTCTGGATACTGAATATTTGAATTAGGTCCCATTGTAGTCTCCCCTGATTCCATATCCATCCTGTCCCATGCTACTTCTCTATAACATGTCTGTGATGAACTGCAGGAATACTGTTAGAGTTGATTGGAGACAGCAGCATACACAATCATATACATTTCCATACATATTTTACATTTTATCCTGTAGTAATTCCTAATTTGGGAAGTTAGAATTTCCACAGCATTTAAATGAGAAAGGATATTTTGATCATTTGAAATCATATTACCGGAGGAAAAAATGCATTAGCACAATCATATGCCTTCTTCTAAACTGTATTAGATTAGATTAGCTGACTTCGGTTTTTGATTATTCTGTCAGCGTGTTCAAATCACCAGGAAGGTCTCTCAGATCTGGGAGGCAGAAGGCTAATCTCTCGCCGAACAGACTTGAAACTGTGAATTGTGGGTGTTGTTACTGTATTTATTCAGGATAACTTCTGAATTAATATCGTTTTGCAATGGTTCTCTTCCACCAGCCTGGTAACGAAAAGTTAGGTTTTCAGTCTTGCATTCTGTTGTAGCTGTGATAAAGCTGTAGGCAGCAGCTATATCAACCTGCAACTCACAACTGGCAACGCACTGAGGCTAAGCAGGTGTGAGCCTGGCCAGTACCTGGACGGGAGACTCCTGGGAAAGCTAGCGTTGATGCTGGGAGAGGTGTTAGTGGGGCTGGTAGGGAGTGCTCACCTGTGGGTCCTAATGCTCCAATATAATGACAGGGACACTATTGTGTAAAAAAGTGAGGTCTTTCAGAAGAGAGCTAAAACCAAGGTCCTTATCTTCCATGGTCAGGGGCATTCTTTGGAAAGAGTAGAAGTGTTGTCCTGGTGCCCTGGGATGGCCTTTACTAATCATGACCTCCTAATAATCCCCATCTGTGAATTGCTTTAATTACTCTGTTCTCCCCCCCACTGAGAGCTGATGTGTGGTGCATCATCCAGGTGGTGATGAAGGGGAGTGTCCAGAAAAGCAGTTACAAGTGTAAGGAATTAAATAAGAAATTAATGTTGTTCTACAGAAATGAGTCATTATTCCAATTGGAACATGTTTTCATTACAAAGTAAAACCAAGCAGTTTCCAATAACTAAACAATAATATTCAGTTAAATACTCAGTGAAAGTCAGTATTTTGATCATTTGATAATTCTGGTTACTGCCCAGGATTTTGATGCAGAAACGATGGCCATTTGAAAAGAAAACATTCACCTGTCTCCAGTCTGCTGTGCTTAAAACTGTGGTTATTGAAACTCGGCTAAATTGAAATTAGAGTCTGAAAAGGAGGATAAGGGAATCAAACTCATGTGAGCTCTCTCCTGTACATATCATGCTGACATGCTGACATCATACATCTACTGATTTCAGGATACTCCATTTAAAAAAAGCTCTCACATTGCTGTGATGAGTTTGACTGCATTGATTCCGGCTTTGCAAGGAGTGTCGCTGGCCATAGCCGTGAAAAGTTGTAGAAAAGCTAGCAGCCTTGCAAAGCTGCGATGGAGCTGATGTATGCGGAGGTGACAGTAGTCTGATACTGAACGTGCCTGAGAAAACTGGGGGACTTTTTATGGATGTGCCGCAGCGACTTTACAGGATCAGTCGGAGCAAATCACTCCCTTCCAGCAGCAGCAGTCAGGCGAGACGCATCCATCACACCGCCAGCAGATGTGTGTCTGCGCACATTCATCAGGTAGGGCTAATGAGAATGCCATTAGAGCCAACAGCACGGAGCTCACATTTGGTGTCTGGCTTGTTGATTTCTCTCCAAAGTAGCTGGAGTGAGTGAACAGGGGGGACAACGCTTGGGAACAGGTGGCGCCTGAGCGGAGAGGGGCTGACATCTCAAATACAGATTTGATAGAAAAGGCACAGAAACTACATTAAATATAAAGACCCCATGGCATGTTTAAACATGAAGCATTGCTGGGAGTTTGCACATTTAGTCATCGTTAGGTTAATCCTCAGACCCAGGAGGTTTAAAAGCCTGGAGGAGGTGATAATCTGGGCTGCACTCCCGATGTAAGCAGAAATCCACCCCAGTCCTGGGACAGACATTGTGGAACTGATCTGCCTCGTTGGGCCTCACTCCATGCCCTTTGAAAGGAGCAATTTCAGGGCAGATGGTTTCTACGCAGCAAATATGAACTCTGGGATCAGTGCATTAAACACAATGATGGCTTGGCCAGAGAGCAGTGGAGACCCACTATTGCATAGTCCTCCCTACTCCCAGAGACACCCCAGCAACAGACTGGAGTGTGTGGGATAAAGGATTTCCAAATCTGAGAGCAGATTGCAATAGCAAAACTCTAAATCATATATAATGTAGTTTTGAAGCAGATCCAAATAGTACAAAATGAAAGCAGCATTTCACTGTACTACTGATTAAATGCTAAGCATGTGCTAACACCTCACTGAACACAGCAAGTATCTCCTTTGCAGTGCTCAGGAACTACAGATATGTCATTTCTCACAGTTTCTAAATCTGGACAGGACAGCTTGCTGGTTGTTCATTACATTGAGGTACAAATCCCTGTTCTTCTGCAAAGTCCCGAGAGATGGCTAGTTTTAATGGCACAGGGGAACTGTGGATGTCTCAGCCTTTGCATAGTTATGACTTTAGCAAGGCTGTTTATTTTGAATTGTTTTCTCTTATTTTTAAAAATCAGAATCATCATTTACTTTTTTATTGTCCATCTCCACCCAGTTGGGAATGGTTAGTGGTGTCTTGGCCAAGAGCAATGTCCTGTCTACCCACACACAGAGAATGAGTAAGGCAGACAGACCCCTATGACCCCTCTACACTTCCAGCCATTCCTCTACAGGTAAGCCCAAGATATTCTGCTCTACATGTAGCAAATGTATGGACCACCCAGGGAGTATAGCTTAGGGAAAATGCTTTTGCATTTATTTAACACTTTTTATCCCCAAAGGATCCAAAGCATATGTGAAAGGGCTTGCTACATTCACCCCTGAAGTGGAGCTCTCACCCGTATTGCACAGATTGCACAGATTGTACAAGCCAAGAGTGGCTTAACTATATTTAACGATCTTATCGTTTGACGAGTCAATAGCATTGATGGCTTATCATGTCAGTGCAGACAGACAGGCCATGGGATTACATCAGTGTTGGTAATGTCAGTACGCTAAAAAGAGACATTGATATTTAGTCTGCTGGGACATTGATTTGCAAGACTAACCCAGTTTGTGTTTACTTAATAACTACAGACCTTTTTCAGGGGCCGATGGAAGACAAAACACAGAACAACAAAAATAGTGAAATAATTCATTAAAAAATAATTTAACCATCTTAATTAGATTGGGGAGATGTAAACTGTGGAAGGCGCTGGGCGCCGTGGTCAGGATGGAGAAATAGGATCTCAGTACCTATCTTCTCCAAACCTGAACTTCAGCTCTTCCTGTTCTTCACTGTCGGAAAACTGCCAGGTTTGTTGTAAATTAATTAAATGGGCAGCTTGCCCAAAGCAGAAACACAGGCCCACAAGAAGTGCCAGATTCTAGTTGTCATGCTTGACTCAAGACCACTGGGAAGGGTTACACTGGTCTCAGCGCTTCATTTGGATTTGGAAAGTGACGATCGAGTGGGAACGCCTGGCCTGGACCTGCCATCAGCTGAGCAGGTCAAAGGAGGACCCAAGCACAGGTCACCTGAGCCAAGGTCTGCTTTCCTGGGTGCGAAGTGACCTTGATTGACTGGGTTCGAAATATGAATCTATGCCCTGCTTTTGGTGAAAGGCTGGTCTGTACTCAGCTTGCCAAGAAAATGCTACAGTTCACAGTCTAGGCTCATATGAGATCTGATCATGCACTGAAAACAGAGAGCATCTTTCTCCTTTAACTCTCTAGGAAGAAGCGAGTGGGGAATTGAAAATTCAAAGGCTGAACATGGGGTTAAAAGAAGTCTTGGACACTCTCCTTAAATATAAAATGAGCATTTCCTTCCAGGAATACAATGTATACAAGCTAGATGTAGTTGGTAAAATTGTTTAAAATCTGTCCCTTTACTGGGGCTCCTGAATGACTCAACCACTTAAGACTCTCAGTAGGAGTACTGATTCAGCACTATAGTGTAGACAATGCAGTCTAAGCCTGGGAATTGTTGAGAGTTGGCACACAATTGGCTGGGCATCGTTGTGACACCTGGGACTCACTGGGTGCTTGTAGACGTGCAGTGCCGTCAGTGTGAGACACATCACTCTCACTCCAGTTGGGGCTCACTCTCCTGTAAGGCAGTGTGGAGCTCATTAAATGGTGGAGCACATTCACAGTCTTTGTTTTCCTGTGCTGATGTGTAGCAGTGAGACAAATTGATAAATAATTGCAGATTCCCAGTCAGAAGGATCCAAAATGTAAAATAACAGCTGTTGCAAAAATAGCCTTCAACCGGATATAGAAGACAAATCTTTATGTTCCTTCACCAGAGCAGCATATCAGCAATGGAAAGACTGGCCTGTGGATCTATTTAGAACAGATGCCAAATGCTCAAGATGATTTTTGCTCAAGAATATAAAACTTTGTAAATACATTAGAAGCACAAGATAAGTTTCATCAAATGCAATCTGTGAAAGAGGTTTAGGATTTTGTATCGATTCATCTTTGTCCACCACAGGGCTGTGTGGGAAAGCGATAGAGAGGTCATGTGAAATGCTGGAGTATGTATTGAAAAACTGTAGAAATTAAATTTAAGGAAGTAATGTTCAAAATTATACTGTTTAGACCTAATTTTGAATAATACTCAAAAATCTGGTTACCATATTAATTAAAGGGATATTGTTTCCCTCAAAGCAGATCAGGAAGAAAAAAAGAGAATTCCCCTTGGTGTAAAATGAACATCCTACTAGACAGAAGCGTTTTAGTCTTGCGCAGAGGAGAGCAGTTGATACAGGTATTCAAAATCCAAAACATTATTGATAAAACAATGCAATGGACTACTGTATTTCTTACCTAAAGTAACCATACCCCAAGGGTACAGATAAAATGAAAGGGAAATCATTGATTGTATTATTAAACATTGGCATCACTTCTTTATAAACACCCACAGGTGCCTGGAATAAAAAACTGTGTAGCTACATTCTAGCTACCGCATTCTGGTTTCACAAGGATTCCTCTAGACTTTCAAAATGTAAACTGCTAGAATTGAAGATGAGTTCATTAACCTCTATTTATGTACCGAAGAATTGGAACCCTGGGCACTTATTTCTGTGGGGGTAAAAACATATTTAAAGCTCTACTGTTAAACATTTTCTGCACTTTCTAAGAAGTATATGTCCGTTGTTTCAAATGCCACAGATAGGTGTCCTTTAAAAAACATATTACACTTAAATATATTATTACAACTGTATTACTTTTACTAGTCAGGACTGTATTCGACAGCACTGGAAACTATTAAAAATACAGTTGTTCTTTGCTCTATGTGTTGTCTAAATGCATGAACCTATGGTTATTGCTCAATTTACCATTAAAACACAATCCATACCACCTACTCTCCAAATGTTTAAATTGAATTTTCTCTTACAGGAATTCTACTTTTGCAAGGTTGGTATTGACCAGAAATTGACTTTCAAAGATTTGTTTTTCCACAAACCAGAATAAAGTAGGAAGCTGAATAGAGAGCTGATGCAGACACACATTAACCTGGGGGAAGGCAGCATAGATTCTCTGACAAGATCGTTATTGCTCATGCAAAGTTGATTAAGTATTGGTTCACTGTTATTGTTATAAAGAACATGAGTCATTGTTGTACAGTATGTTTATAGAAAGCCTTCATTTGAACTTACAAACATCACTGTCATCCAGAAAGTCTGTTTAGACCCAACTCAGATAAGATCTGTGGAGCAGACGTTAAAAAGTAGGTGCTGCAGATCCTGTTACAACTAGATTTGTGCTTGGCATGTATACCCCTTCTTTTTCTTCAAATACAAACACTGAGCAGCATGGAAACTCTAGACCAGGACTGACAGATCCCAAAATTCGATTAAAAATATGATTTGTCGGAGTTTTGACTGCCTGTCAAAGACATATTGTTTAAAACAAAAAGAAACAAGATATCCTGGGGTTGCTTTAACAGGACACGTCAGTATCATGACATGAATTCACAGAGTTCACCACATGCTTGGAAGATACGCTTTAACATTCAACATCAGTCATCAGTCTTCGTGAAAGCAAAAGGGATCCACAGAGAGATGAAAACTGCATGGGTCTGAGAGGTGAAAGATGAATGCACCATCAAAGATGCCATCTGCTTTTCTTTGCCATTTTAATGCACAAAGCATTGGAGGAGCACCAGAAAGCTACTGGAGTGAATGCAAAGTCCTCTTACCTGCCTACTGTGTGCTGAAGTCCTCTCCGAGACCAGACTCTCCGAGGCACCAAGTCAGTGCAGCTCAGTACAGGAGCACGCACCTCTGAGGTTTGCTGGCTTGGAGTTCCTCCACCTTCTGTCCTCCATTACATTTTTTCATTGGTAGGGGTTGTGGTGGTGGTGGCTGAAAGTGACTGTGTGTGTATGAGCACGCGCGTGTGTGTCTGTGTGCGGGGACTGGGAACACTGTGTCCGTCTGCGCTCTGGCATGTAGCGTGAGTGACGGAGTGCGAGAGAGGAAGAGAGAGGAGACGAGAGCCCGAGAGAGAGGAGGAGAAAGAGATTGAATCTTTTTTTCACGCTCTGAGATCCGGTGCGATAATAAGCAGTCTCGAGCAGCCTGCTGTTTGAGAGAGTGAGGGCTGTGCTGAGGCAGGGTAGGGAGGATGAGGGAGATTGTTGGAAGGGTGGGGGAGATATGCAGTTCAATGAAGCTGTGTTTGCCATCCCTGCCACCCTGGGATTCCTCTTTCCTTCTTGTTCTCCCTTCCCTCCCCTGTCTCGCTCTGGAATAAACACCCTCACGCACTCACACACACAAAAACGGAGGGATCCGTGCAAAAAGCTTGGATAGAGTAGCCAAAAAGCGTGGGGGGGGCAGAGGACGATTTCTGATGAGGGCACGAAAAAGAGGGGGATGAGGTTGGAAACCCAGAGGAAGTTAGAACAAAAAGAAACTGGGAATGCAAAGGGGGTTAAGAAACAGAGACGCGCAGGAGATGCAACGGAGACAGTGAGAGAACAGCAAGAGCACTTGGAAGCTCAGGATAATGAGGCCACGAGCGAACGGATTCCCATCATTGTAATTGAAGATGTAAACGGTAGTTTGAGACCTCAACACACCCTCCCCTGCAAATCCCCCACCCTGTCCTCTCTCTCCGGCCCAGTGAAGCGATGCCCGCTTATAATTGCCAGCACCCAGGCTGACTGGCTCAGACATTAACCTCAGCCAGGTGTGAGATTGAGATGGCACAGTGCCTGTTCCTTGCTCTGCCGCAGTATTACAGCTCATTAAGAGGTTTATTAGCCACTGTAATTAGCTCTTAGAGAGCAGAGGAGCTGCCGGAGCTGGCTGCTCGTTAACATCGTTAGTGTCTTGGGGGGGCTGTGTGTGTGTGTGTGTGTGTGTGTGTGTGTGTGTGTGTGTGTGTGTG